TAAAGGACATTTTCTCTGAAAGTGTCCATTCACACTCAGCGTGTATGCACGTGCTACTTGTTGTTCGGGAATCCCAGTGTGTGAAATCATCCCACTCAACATCCTCAGGAGAGCCAGGAGATGCCTGGCTCTGCATTCTGCCCTGCATGGCTTTAGCATGTAGTTGCTTGCTGCTGTTGCTAATGCAGGCTGGACCCCTTACTGAAAGGGAAGTAACCAAATGGTGTCCTTGTCTTAGGGTGGACCAGGTTTCTCAGGCAGCAGCAGCAGCTCCTATGGCCAGGTAAGCAAACTGGCTACTCTGCAGAAAGTTCTTCACTGGTCTCTGTGACTGGCATGACTGGAAGACTTTTGGGAGTGATGTTTCCCCTGGCACTCTGTGCCTCAATTTGGGCCACGGTTTCTGCTGAGAATAAGACAATGTGCTGCACAGATGCACAGCTGTTAGCACACTGCTCTGTGTCCTTTTCTTCCCTAAAAGGAAGAAACCTTTTAGGGAATCCCACATGCAGCTGTTATTTCCAAAGATATCATGCTCTATAAAGAAGCCTCCTTGTCAAGGTGGTAATTATCTTCTCTTTATTTAAAGGGTTCCCAAAGCAGCCAGTCCTATGGCCAGGTGAGACTTTGTTGCTGAACTGTGTTGAGCTTTTCTGCAGGAGCCTGTCCTGTAAATGGACGTTGGGGCATGGGTGGTTTTTTCCTTCTCAGTGTTTCTGAGTGGTCCTTGAGTTTGTTTTTGCCACTGAAACACACATGAGGGGAAAAGCAACATAGTAGAGAGGAACCTTTAATGGAAATGGGCTTTTCTCTCTGGTATTCTGTGATTCTGCTTCTGCTGTGCTGGGACTACACTTACACAGCTCTTTTTACAAATGACTCTGTGCCTTTCTTACAGGGTTCTCAGCCTCAAGGTGGCAGTTCCTATGGACAGGTAGGCATCAGTCTGTCATTAGTCATTATACAGCATGTATGTGATGTTCCCATACATGAATTGAGAATCCAGTTTCTAACTTGAAATAATATAGCGAGAATCACTTTAGAATTAAGTCCTATGACCCTTTTTTCATATGGCTCTGGCAACAATAGGCTCACTGAGCTGCAGATTTCCCTGTAGAAAGGTGTGCATTCAGTTCTCAGCTTTCTGATGCACTTTAGTATTCAGCATACTCAGTATTTTACCAAATAATTCACAGTTGGATGTAGTTGGTCTTTTACCCTTGAAGCAGCCTGGCAGCTAAAGCCCTTGAAAATGTTTGAAATAAGAAGAGAGAATGAGTATATTTGCTTCATGAGCTGATCTTTTTTCTTTTCCCCAGCAGGGTGGCTCTGCAGCTTATTTTGGCAGCAGTGGTTGTGGACAAGTAAGACTTTTTCTCCAAACTATTTGAAAACTAGACCCTGCTTTCTTTGCAATACTAACATGTTTTTAATAATTTTTATAAATTTTGTAGCTTGAAATCTATTGTTTTCATTGTTACATGAGCTTATCTGTCACAGAGGTCAAGAAAGACAGCTATTATTGGCCGTTGTAACCAATATGAAGTGGCTGCTCCCATTTAGAGTTACATATGGAAAACAAATAAGTGATTAATCTGTCTGCTCATTAAGTATATAAAGTCTTTGCTTGGGAATTTTTGGATGTTGCTCCATTTATTTTCTATAGAAAAGAACAGGTATAGAGAGTGGCTCAAATGGAGCAATTACATTAGTAGTTTTCATCCTCAAATGGAGCAAACTACATTAGTAGTTTTCATCCTGGTTCCATTTCAACTTGTCTATGTCTACAGTGGTGTAAAAACAATGTATTCAGTGATGAGATCCCAGGGGAAAGGGTCATGGATGAGGCCAATAGTAAATCTACATTTAAATAAATATATGGAGCAAAGCAACCAGAATGAAAGATAATCATACATAAAGACATTTTAAGCAGTATTTAACAGAAATATTAGGATTCATGTAAGTTAGGCATGAATGGAAATGCCTCCAAAAGCATCATAAGAAGCAGTACAACAAGGACACCATTACCAGCAATGAAAGTGATAAACACTGAAGAGTGTGTTATTTCCACTAAGCTGTGTCACAGGTTGACTTATCAAGAGAAGACCTGTACTGTAATATGGGAGGGTCACAACCAGGGTAGAACCCTTTCTGTGTACTGTACCTCACCTTCTTATCACAACATATACCCAGAACAGGCAAATGAATGGCTCTGAGCAGAAACTTTGCCTAAAATCCATGGTGGTGAATGTAGCAAGAGATTGATGGCCACATTTAGACAGACGGTCACCCAACAGTAAGAGTTACTTCCAAAAAAACCCCACCAACAGTTCATCTTTACCAATCAAGAGATCAAGGGATCATCCCAGTCAAGGGATGATACAGAGAAACATCAATTACCAACCTACCACTTTGCATGTGGCTCACAAGTATTCCTTTGATCATCTGTTTGAAAGTGTCTTGATGCTTGTATGGGGGTATGAGAGTGACAGAGGGTAAAGCCACACACTTAAAAGGTTAAGCAAAATTGAACTCACTTTCTGTAAAGTTAAATGTTGAATTTTGTAACACTAATTCTCACATAGGAAATTGTAAGGAAACTACTTTGCAAGAAAAATGGCATTTACTTTTTTGTCTGGTTGGTTTTTGACAGGGTGTCTCCTATGATAGCAATCCCTGCCACCAGGTAAATGGGCTTTCTTCTCTTATTTTAAGATGCATCCAAAATTATTTTTGCCGCTAACTCAATTAGTTCCAAATTCAGATTCATATTGCGAAAATCCATATAATCTTACAAATTTTGAGATTAGAACTCACTCTCTTCCTATACACAGGAGTATCACAGGGACTTTGGAGCCTTCTCTGCCCCTTTTTCTTAGCATTATGTTTTGAAATGTCTAATTCTATAGGACATTAAGGACAGATTCTGGAAAGAAGTCTGCTGCAGAGTTGCCTAACTGGTGTGACTTAAATCAGGGCTAGAGCTCAGCAGCCTCTCTTTTCCTATCAAAAAGCCAGAAAATATTTTAGAACTTTGCTGAAGTCCCTGAAAAAAAAGTTTGTGCAGTGAACTATAGATAGCCACATGTGTATTTGTTGCAAGTTCAAGTTTTGGAGCTCTACAAACCACTATCCTAAAAGATGTCACTTATGTTTAAAGAAGTCACCTCTGTGATGTTAAAAATTAGGCAGAAAATGGCAACAAATTATTTCCTTTTTATTCACAACTCTTCTTTTGATTCTTACTAAGTTTTCACAAGAAACAGAAAAATTGGATAGATTGCTTCAACAAGCACTGTGTTTTAACAATATAAATATATACTATATTTATAAATATGCAAACAACATAGATGCTGCTACAATATATTATTATTATGTGGTCAGAATGTACAATGCATTGTATGTAATATATTATAACTTGGTAGAATTCTATATTTAATAGGCATATATTTTATAACAGCTTTTATTTTTTTAAGAGAACCTATTTCTTTTTAAGACTACAGAGAATGCTTCAATTTTGTTCTAAAATCTTCTAGAACATTGAAAGATGATACTTTTCATTTCATTTTCTTTTGTTCTGAACGAAGCCTTACTCCCATTTTAGTGAATGGCAAATATCCCACTCACTTAAATAATTCAGTATTTCACTATTCTTATTATGCACTTTTCTACAAATATCTCTTCTGATTTCACTGGAAGGAGTTACATTCCTCTTCTGAAGAGGGCACATTGAAATATACTGAGTGTTTTATTTAAAACCTTGTCCTCAAGGCCACTGTCTCTCAGAGGTCACAGCTTCCTGTATGAAAATGCTACCAAGTAAATTTGTATAAATTAATTCCATTTGTATAAATTAGGTTTTCTACAGGAGAAAAAAAAGATACATTCCCTACAAAGTGTTCATAATGGAGCTCATCTGTGCACTAGAAATTACTTAAATGTTTGAAGTTCCTTGATTTATGTCTCATCTAGTATTTACCATTGCATTACTGGCAATCTGTGCTCATTACATTAAAAATTATATTCATATTTTATATCTGCCTCTACTTCTTACTCTTCCTAAGCAAGTATCATAGCTTTATTAAAAATATTCCATGGTCAAACAGTGAGTGTCTAAAGCCTTTTTGTCTGATTTACAGGGTGGATCACAGGGTGGATCACAGGGTTTGTTTTTAGGTAGATCTTTATTATCCATTGGTAAAAATATTTAAAGCAATTCTAATCCACAGTACCGTTTTCTTACACATGGGGATATAGACTCTTGCAGAGTCTCTCCATGTCCAGTCTGTAACTCATTCTCTGCAAACATATTTTTTATGAGCCCTGAAATTCCACTTATGTAAAAGTGGAAGTTACACAGAATTTCCATAGAACTCGGCTACCTAGGACAGCTCTATTCACTCAGATAAAATTCAGCTCTCCAGCATTATGACTGCTGCTGTTTTGTTTTCACAGGGTGATTCATACTCCTCACAAAACTATGGTGGCAGCCAAGTAAGTATTGCCTCCCACCAAGGTTTTATGATGGCTTTAATTTCTATGATGACTGATCAATATCTGATCGGCAATATGGTAATGTAAATTCTAACTATTTTGTTGTTGGTTTGTTTTTTTTTTTTTTTAGCAGAGTGGATCATCCCAGAATTATGGTGACAACCAGGTAGGCAGACCTTGATTTTCTCCTGGTAAGAATTTTTATAATGCTTGATAATTTATCCAGAAATCTTGAAAATTGTATTTGTTCAAAGGAATCCTAGGCAATTGTTTGTTCCAGCTTTACAGCCTCTGAACCAAATCACACTTTCCTCTGAAACAGAGCTTATATTTGTTTGTTTTATAGGATGGATCCTACTCACAAAACTATGGTGGTGGCCAAGTAAGTAATACTCTATTTCACTACTTATACATCACTTCATATAAACTTTAGCCTCTGCTCAAAATCAGGTTTTCTATATTGTAGCTTTCTCCAATTTTGATTGGGTTTTTTGTTTGTTTTAAAGGGTGGATCATCCTCAGACACCTATTATGATAATCAGGTAAGTAGTTCTTTCTTTCTCCTAGTTACATAATATTTGTAGTCCCTGCATCAATTTTGTAGTCCCTGCATCTACTCAAAGATCTAATAAAACGTAATTATTTCTGTGCTCTTCTTGGTTTGGATTTGTTTTATCGGTGTTTTTTTCCTTTACTGGAGATTGGAACATTCCCTGTCAGCCACTATTGCAGCTATGGATTTGGCTCCTTTTTTTCTTATAAAGATCCTAATTTAATTTAACTCAGCTTCTTTTTTGCATGAGCATCTTTTCTGTCTTGTACAGTAAACATGAAAGTGTATTTTTAGCAATTCATTTTTGTGAAGAAATAACTGGTATCTGATGTCGTTCTAGGAGTCACAAGATTCCTCATATGGCAATAATCCAAATGCTTGTGATGATGTGAGTATGCTTTCTCTAATGTATTTTTATCACTACATTTTTCATGTAGATGAGAAAATATTGCTCTGCTATATGCAGTCTTTGGAGCAAAATTATCTAGAAAGAATGCTGAGTTTCCACACTAACAGCTGTTTCAGTAACTGCCTCTTCTCTTGCTGAAAAGTGTCATATATATGTTTACAGATACAGTTAATGCTTTTAAATGCATTTAACTGGATGAAATGAAAGATGAATAAAAATACTTCAATGGTTTTGCAGTAACAGATATTTTCCTCAAAATCTAAGGGTACATTTTGCATGAATTAAAAAAAATAAAAACAACCTGCAAGAAAATCTTTAAGTAGATACAATGAATGCAAGAAGAAGGGACAGATATTCCACTGCTTTTCATGTTACATTTGTACTAATCCAAGTTGTTATTACAATGTTTTTTGGACTGCAATGGTAGAATTTCAAACTAATTTAGACAAGGCTGTGGAGAATGGGAGCAATAAGTCATTTTTGTAATGGGAGCAGCAAGTCATTTTTGTTATGTCTGTATGCAGTATCAGAAACAATTTGTTTTCTTTAAACTTGCTTTATTTGAATAATTCTTTTAAAAAGGAAATAATGTATTCTTTTCCAGAATGACACTACCTACAGTTCCAATAGTCAAGTAAGTACTTTGTTTGTTCTGTAGTGTTCAAATTCTAATGATTAATGACAATGGTAGTAACTAAACACTTCTATATTAGACCTGTGGACTTTTAGTATATGATTACTTTATACTACCCTTCAAAAAGTTAATTATTTCTCTATACCCAAGGATGCTGCACAATTACTTCAAATGGCACAATATTTCTAATAATATATACTAATAGATTTTGTTAATAATATGTCCACTTTGATCGGATAATTTGGGAATTCATCACCTGTGTACATGAGGCAGGTAGCCATATCAAGCTTTTCACACTCATTCAGATTTAATGTCACCTACATGCTGCTGTTGTAAAGTAACATTTATGCCTGGTATTCCCCAGTATTACTCTGTCAAGACTTTCCATCTGTCCTACAAGCAGAAACAGTGATTACCGTGAATAGATTGTGACAAGCAAATACACTGTTGTGTAAATAATTTATGTGTAAATAAATTACATTTTGTCTACTTGTTTCTGTTCATAGAAAAGCTTTTTCCATCTGTCACAGCCTCCTTTTGTTTTACTGCCATCTAGAGTAACCTTCTGTCATCAGCTACTTGCCTTTTCAGCTCTCAGCCATTCACTATTCTGCTTCATTGTTGTCCCTACTTTTCCTCTATAGTACTTAAGTACTGCACCAAATGTATTCTAGAATGTACAGAGGCCTTCTGAAAACATCTTTTCTTTTGGCTTCTATTTACCTTGAATTCATTGCACCAGGTCCAATTCCAAATGTTCTGAAAAAGAATTCCTTCATCAGCAAGCCCTGTTTAGGAGCCTCCTCACTTCCTCTTTTGTACATGAAATATGTTAATATTCCCTTGGTTATCTCTATCCAGTCTGTATGGCTGGACTGCTTTGTAAAAGAGTTGGCATCTAAACTTTCTCACAAAGAAGGATGGGGAATGTTAAAAAAAAAAAAAGAAAAAAAAAAAAAAAGGAGGGAGAAAAAGGAAAAAGCATCCTTATACAGATATACAGATTGTATACTAAACTACAGTGGTTCAGCTGAGGGAGACTCCCCTAAGCAGGAACTTCTGTTGAAAGAGATAAACTGAAAACAGACAAAGAATATGCTTTTTAAGAATCTTATTGCTAATAAAAAAAAATCTCTGGACATCTTCATTTTCCAAACATCATCCTGACAAGTAGTAGGCTTTTGTTGAAGCATTTAATGTGGACAACTACAGCTATAAAGTACTAACAGGCTTGTGGCTCCTTTGCAGCGTTCTGGTTGTACAAAGAAGAAAGTTGTTGCCCGAGTAAGTAACACCTTTTTTCTTTTAATTTTTGACTGCTTGTAGGATTTTAGTCCTAACTATACCTAATCTGACTTAATTATACCTAACTTTTCCCTAATTATGTTTATAGTAGTCAATATTCTCCTACATAAGGGAAAAGTAAAATAAAATTGCTTGGGTATTTGTTCTTTGGATTAATCTCTTTAAAGAAGTATATATATGAAAAAAAAAAAACCAAAACATTTAAATCATGCTTTGAAGTATAGGGTAGCTCAAACTCCTGTTCTTCATTAAGCACATACAGAGTTGGTCCAAGCTAAAGTTAATATTAAATGAGTATCATGCAAACAAAGGACAGCGAACATTTTAGCTGAAGAAAGATAAAATAATAAGTAAGGAAGAATATTTCCTACTTCATTATGTTCATAATAGGTGATACAAATATCTGTACTGTATAGTTGTAAGTCAGACTCAGTAGTAACCTTATAAAAATTATGTGCAAATAGTCTTTTATTTTATAATAATGCATTCCTACTCAATGTACACAATAACGGGTCTGGTGGTCTTCTAAACAAATAATATGGAAAGAAAAAAGACCTATCTCTTATCATGGAATTTTCATCTCCTCATTGTAAATGCTATTATTTTTTTACAGGACACATCACATGTTTTAAGCAGAAGAGCCTATGATGTACAGGTAAACCATTCCTGTCCCTTTTTCTGAACAACTGCTGGTAGTAGTATTACCTACAAAAAAAGAAGGCTCTAGTCTTCTTGTTGTCCACAAACAACAACCAATTCTCTTTAAGGTTAGGTATTTCTTTCCAAATAGAACTACATATTTTATTTTATTACCCCTATAGATATGTCTTTTTTTTTTCTTCACAGAATGCATCTTCTTCAAATAACAGCCACTCTGACATGCAGGTAATAATGTAGTGTCAACTGCATGATATCAAGAGAATTTCTGATAAATTATATTTCATTTTGAAAGTTAGGTTCCAGTAATTTTTTGTGCTGAAGGATGCTATTTTGATTTGACAGCATTTTTCCTATAATGTTATAATTTTACACAGTTGTAAATAGTGATATTAGGCTCAGAAAATACAGTTTTTTCTGTTCCTTCACCCCACTAAGCAGGTAAGAATTGCAGGTGTTTCTTTACATAACATTTTGTAAAAGTAACTTGAAAACACAAACTTTATAATCTCAGATTCTTGTTTTAGAAACATTCTTGCAGTCTTCATTGTAATAGCCATATATATAATTGTTTCATTTTGTATTTGGTAAGAAGGTACATTTTAGGGATTACATACTTCTGTTACAAAAGTAGGTCCAACTTTCATATTCTGTAGGATATACAGAATATATGCTTCAGCAGTGTTTATATGAGAGAATTATGTGAAATTTAACTGATCCAGAGTGGCACCTTGTTCTGGTTTTCTTAGTATCTTGGATTGGTACCCATCCCAGGGGTCTGAAATCCTGCTACACCCAGCATTAAGTAGATTTAACAGTAGCATATTCCTCTGTCTCAGAGAGCTTGGAGTTTAATTCAGAATTGCAGACAGATCTCTGAGCTCTGGAAGGTAAAGGTTTTCTTAATTAGTTTCTCTAATGCCCAATCCCTGTGAATTGTATCAAGTCACTTAATGATACATTTCATTGCTAATTTATGTTTTCACAAAAATTCAACAGGTGCAGGGAAGTAATAGAGTTTGTAATAGCATATCTCATTACATAGTTTAATACTTTGGAGTCTAATAAAATGCTTTAATAAAATATAATTGTTTTCTTCACAGGGTGGATCATTTATTGCGACCAGTGGATCAAGTAACCAGGTCAGGATTTTCTTTATTTTTGACTAGTCTTGTTCAGATAGTTTCCTATTAGATGAATTAAAATCAGAAATCAGGTCTAAGTAGTTTTACATGGAAGACTGGTGATGTTGTCCATTAATTTGTAAATGTAGCCCTATTCATATTAAATTTATCAGAAATCACTTTTTAGCACTGCTCCAGCATAACATGTGTTTTACTGGTGATAGCATAGTGGGATACCCCTGACTACCCTATACTTCTTCTTGCTGAGACATCTGTCATTGGGACATCCCACTGGGAGAGGCACTATCAGTCTGACTTCCAAAGCAAACATTAACAGCACACATCTGTGCTGTCCCCTCATTTGTTCTAGGTACAGCAAAGGTCATACCTTCTCTGTAGTCCCACAGACTTTCCTCCCTTACACAGTTTTGCATCTGAAATAAGATTGTATTTTTAATTTCCACAGTTTCCACAAAGCAATAATTGTTTCTTTTTTTTTTTTTAATATTTGTAGGGTGGTTGCATTTGTCCTGATGGAAGCAATGGTCATAGACAGGTAATTATATTTCTGAGTCTATACTTCCTTCTACTGTGACTAAAAATACCAACATTTGTTAAATATTTCAAAATATAACCTTTCAAATCAATATTTAAACTTTTCTTTCCCTGTAAAGAGAATAATTGAAATTTCAATGTCAGTTGCACTGAATAATCTTTTCTCTTACGTAATGCCTCTGGGCCAGGAAAAAGGCCAAGGAATGTGCTTATGTGGGCATTATAGACTAGCTCTACCAAGCTTCTGGCTTTTAAAGTCACCTTGGATTGTAAAGTAACCTGTCTTCTCTCAGGATACATATTTCTGAATCTTTTATTGAAGCTGTATTTACATAAACCCATTTGAATAGTGTAGTATTTTTTTGTTTTCAATTTCAACAAGAAGCATTTTGTGAATTATTCTTTCTGTAAAAACCCCCATGCTATTTAAACAAACTAATTGTATTAAAAAAATACCGTTTTCTGAACTTAACTTCATTAACTTAAAATATAGCAACAGAAATTTTGCTCAGATACAATATCACCTCTTTCATATAATTGAGGCTAAGCAGTAACCATGGTTTACATGCTTTAAAATATAAATTAGTCCATTAAAATAAATAATACTGAAACTTCATTGAGGAAAAAAATCTTTTTATTTGTTGTGCGATTGTACAAAAATCCATTTATAAGGAAAAAGGTGGAGATCTTTATGCAAGTTTTTTCATTCTAATAAACATTTTTCTTTGCATGCTTTAATTGTTGCAAAAAAAAGGTTTTAACAGAAATCTAGCACAGCTTGCTTGAGGAGTGTGTATTTAGTTCCTATCAACAAGAAATTTTCAACATGAAGAAAATAAGATGTCAAACTAGGACAGATGAGAAAACCAGCTCTCAATGCAATTGTGTCAACTTTGATGCACAGGAGACTTATTTTCCAATTTGTAATCGTATCAGCTGATCAAATTAATGTATGATAAAGTATGTAGCAGTAGATTTGGTCTTTGCTTTCATGGTCTTATTTTCATTTTCTCTCCAGGGCCCTCTACATGTGGCAGCTACAGCTCTTACAGTAGCATGTAAATAGATTGGCCATGACAGGTTATATTCTAATAATAGTAAAAAAAGCAAGCTCTAGGTAGATGTATACATAAAAAAAAACTACCATTCATAAATCTTAAATAAAAGACAGAGTGATCTAATTCCTAGGGCAGTGGTTACAGCACCAAGCCTGACAGAGGTCCAGAAGCATTTGGACAATGCTCTCAGGCACATGGACTCTTGGGGCTGGTCCCCTGCAGGACCAGAAGTTTAACCTGATAATCCTCTTCAGTCCCTTCCAACTCAGTTTATTCTGATTCCTTGAAGATTCTTCAGTAGAACAGAAAAATTCTTGCAAAAAGCTTTCTTCTACATTTAAAAGCTGTGAGTTACACTAAAGTCTCTTCAAATCTGAAGTATTATAAATTAAGAGTCAGAACCATACATATTTAAACCAGCTTGTTTCAAAGGAAAAATAGGTTTATGCATGTGGATCCCCAAATTCCTCACACTGCAATTATTTTGCTTTTTCTCCAAGCTTAATTTAAAGACAAGATCTTAGTCTACAAATAGTCTCAGAGGAAGCACTCTAAGCATAGAATAGCGCTTCCCCTGTTTTTATATAAGGGGGAAATGACAGTTATAGTGAATGAAGGAGCTGGTAAATAGTCTTCGCCTTTAAGTCTTGAGCTGAGAAACATCCTCTCCTAAATAATCTTTACTCTTTGGAAGTCCAGTATTCTGGCAGTTTTTAAAAGGGCCATCAAGGTCATGATCATATATAAAAACATAGAGTCTGCAAGTTATGACATAGAATTCTGCCATTAGAAAAAGTAAAACCAAATGTTAGTACTACTTTCAAATCTTTTACCCTGAAGAGGAAATAACAGAACCTGCTACAGGTTTCCTTCTCTCTAAAAAAAGTACGAACCAGCATTCTCTTTAAGTGGTTGCTGTAAAGTTTTATTTGAAAGAATAGAAATTCACAGTAGACTCATTGATGTAAACGTCTGTTTGCAAGCAAATAGCTAGTCTGTGTTTTCATTTCAGGGAGCCCCAGGTTCTTCATACAACACATATTCTGGTAACCAGGTAAACATTCAGATAAAATGCCCTATTCAGAAACTCCATCTAAAACCTTCCCTGAAGGAATAGCCAGATATAAACCAGTAACCCATTCTGTCTTCTGCACAGGGAGGGCCTTACTTCTATCCTGGAGGAGCCTATGGACAGGTAGTAGTTCTTCCTCCCTCACCAGGATAATACAGACTCCATCCTCCTAGTCACTTCACTCCCAGTATTGTGGGTGCTATGATATATTAAATTACAGACCTGATTGTTATCCCAAAGAGCAGAAAAATTAAATTAACCCTGATGTGACCTGGTGGTGTGAAGCTTGACAGAAAACAGTACAGAATGGTCTCTGCAGTTTCTTTGCAGAATTCAAGTTTCAACAGGCTAGCAAGTTTGCTACCAGAAGATTTCTCCCACTTTAAAAAGAATGGCTTTGAGTTTTACTTAGGCACATAAAAATTAGCTCAAAACTGGGAGAAAGGGTATAGTGAGAACCACATGTGCAGGTATTTAAACTCTCATCTTCAAGAAAATAGCTGGTCTGTGTTTTTCTTTCAGGGTGGCCCAGGCTCTTCCCACAGTTCTTACTCTGATAACCAGGTAAATATTCTGGTCACTGCACCTGCTCAGGAGCAGACTAGAAGTATTCTTTGAGAGAACATTCAACTACAAACCAGTAAATTTCTATGTTTTCTCTGCAGGGAGGGCCTTCCTACTATTCTGGTGGATCTTATGGACAGGTAGGTGCTCTTTCTTCTTTGTAGAGACAGCAGACTTTTATCTTCATTCCTATATTTCCCATGTAGTGGCTGCTGCGAAATATAACACCCAAGAGTTGAGTCTATCATAACACCTAATAATTGTATCACCTGTCTGTACCTTACAACATGAAATCTGTCAGAGAAAGACTAAATTGTGCTTCCAGCTTCCATGGAATGATCTTTCATCTAACTAAAAAATTAGTGATAAGAAGCCCCTTCTTTTTTAAGAGAATTGGCCTGGATTGAGATTTAGATACATTGGTATTTACACCATCCTGTTTGCAAGTAAATTGCTAGTCTGTGTTTTCATTTCAGAGAGCCCCAGGTTCTTCATACAACACATATTCTGGTAACCAGGTAAACATTCAGATAAAATGCCCTATTCAGAAACTCCATCTAAAACCTTCCCTGAAGGAATAGCCAGATATAAACCAGTAACCCATTCTGTCTTCTGCACAGGGAGGGCCTTACTTCTATCCTGGAGGAGCCTATGGACAGGTAGTAGTTCTTCCTCCCTCACCAGGATAATACAGACTCCATCCTCCTAGTCACTTCACTCCCAGTATTGTGGGTGCTATGATATATTAAATTACAGACCTGATTGTTATCCCAAAGAGCAGAAAAATTAAATTAACCCTGATGTGACCTGATGGTGTGAAGCTTGACAGAAAACAGTACAGAATGGTCTCTGCAGTTTCTTTGCAGAATTCAAGTTTCAACAGGCTAAGAAAATTACTACCAGAAGATTTCTCCCACTTTAAAAAGAATGGCTTTGAGTTTTACTTAGGCACATAAAAATTAGCTCAAAACTGGGAGAAAGGGTATAGTGAGAACCACATGTGCAGGTATTTAAACTCTCATCTTCAAGAAAATAGCTGGTCTGTGTTTTTCTTTCAGGGTGGCCCAGGCTCTTCCCACAGTTCTTACTCTGATAACCAGGTAAATATTCTGGTCACTGCACCTGCTCAGGAGCAGACTAGAAGTATTCTTTGAGAGAACATTCAACTACAAACCAGTAAATTTCTATGTTTTCTCTGCAGGGAGGGCCTTCCTACTATTCTGGTGGATCTTATGGACAGGTAGGTGCTCTTTCTTCTTTGTAGAGATAACAGACTTCTTATTTTCCTCTTGTTCCGCCCTTGAAAGATGGAAAACACTTTATTTGGAGAATCAAATTAATCAGCTTTTTAAATTTTTTTTTGCAGGGAGGGTCTTCTGCTTATGATGGCAGCAGTGAATCCTATGGTCAGGTAAATACTCTTCTTTGTGTAAATGTTGCTGAGGACCAATACCCTGGCTGAAGTAAATATGCAGCTATATCTGCATTTCCACTGCCACTGTATTCTAATGAAAGTGATCTTTTATTTGAGGAATGAGTAAATTTGTACATACTTCAAGCTGAGTATCTTGAAAGTTTACAGGCAGTAAAAGGTGGGGTGCCTCCAACCTTTAAGGGTTATTCTTCTCAACAATATCTTGAGCTCAACAATATCTTCTCAGCAATGTCAAAATCTTGAGTTACCTGCAAGATAAGGTCTCTTCATAAGATGAAGGTCTCTTCAAAAGTGGAAATAGAATTTGAATTAAAAAATATGTAACATCAGTATTTTACAGTGACATAACTCTGAGTTGCTGAACAGTTCTGATAACTAGGTAAATAATAATATTTTTTAAATCTGCCAGAAGAAGAAGATCCCTACAGTAAGCCAAAAAAAAAAAACAAAAAAAAAACAAAAACAAAAAAAAAAAACCAAAAAAAAAAAAAAAACCTGTTTGCAATATGAACATTATTTATGTTTTCTGAACAGGGTGGATCTTCTGCATATAGTGGTTCTGAGGCTTATGGCCAGGTAAAGGTTATCTATCTCCTACATCAAAAGCTTAAGCTTGCTGTGTTGGTTCTTACGTGTACTGGGTTCTATGCTTCAGTTATTTTTAAGTGACCATGACCACAGAAATGCCATCTTAACTTTTGTTTTTCTTTCCCTTTGTAACAACTCAAAATATTTCCATAATGTAGAGAACATGAGGCACTATGTATGCCATTTTTAACTGTGACTAGCCCTGTGACTATTCAGTGCTTTAACAACTTTATTGTTCATAAATTAGCTCATTCAAAAGGAAAATACTTCATGCATTTACTTTACATACTTATGCAGAAGCTGTTGAAAGTTTAACTTATGGTATTTTTTAATATAAAGAATAATAACTTTGCAAATTAACTTCACTGAAAAGTTTCTCCCTATAAAAATGCATGTTTGCAAGGAGGGCTTTTTTCCCAGCCTCTTCTGCTTAAGCAACAGGTAAAGTTAAAAATTTTTTCTTTTCTTGCACATTCCCTAGTTTAGGTAATATTTGAGATTCTAAGTGCTTAGTTAGTTTTATTCTTCTATTTTATATTCCCCACAATTAAGAACATGTAAGAGACATTTTTACATGAAAATTAATGGTTTTCCATTATTTTACAGGATTCACCTTCCATGGGAGCCAGTGAAACTGAAGATAATGTAAGCATTTCTTCTCAAAAATATCAATATCTTCATTCACTACCTTTTAAAGTAGCTAGGTGCTTACATGGACCTTTACCTCATCTGATGTCACATGATTTTGTTTTACATGATAAGGACTTCACAAATTAAAATTGCAGTTAACAACAGTTCCCACTTCTAACAATCAAACATTTTTTGAATTTGTTGTTAGAAGTAGCAATTACAAAGAAAGGTCTTTTTATTTCACAATTTCCATCAAAACTCAATATTTGTATATGACTACTTCCCTCTTTCCATCCCTTGCACTACATTTTGTTTGTTTTTCCAAATGCCAGACACATGATTCAACTACATATTGCATAGGATTGGTCTGTCTTCATGCAGTGTGGTGAAAACTGCCTGCTTTTCTCAAAAAGATGCCTTTTCTCCTGACTAAAGTACATACTGTATTTACTCTGCTGAAGCCATTTATAAAACTTCACAATTTTTAAGTCTTTTCCAGGGTCCTGGTTAGTAGGAAATTGCTCTCTGCAAATAATTACAAATTCAGCTGTGCACTTTAGTCACAAGTATACTGTGTCAATAGCTTCAATGCAGTTTCTGAACCAAATCTTCTTATAGATATTCAAGAAAGCTAAAATATGATACTACAGAAGGTCCAAGAAACCCTCTGAAAGAAACTAAGGTGTAACAACAGAAGTGTACCACATCTTGGCCTTTGAAAAACCAAGACAGCTTTGCAAATGATGAAGTTTTCCCCTGAAACATTCTGGAGGAAATAAAATAGATTGAGATATGACCTCATTCCTTTATTTCACTATAACAGGATTCAGCTTTCAAAAGAAAGAAATGCTATTCTCCAGAAATGAGCAGAGAAGAAATTTGTACACTGCTTATCCTACATCTTCAACCTTCCCACAAGCAGTACCTCCCTTTGCTTCCCATCCTTGCTTAGAAAGAAGTAGAAATATTTGCCATGGCAATAACTAGATTCTAATCTTTCTCAGGATCCCTCCTCACCATCTGGTAGCCGCCAGAGTGAACGGGTAAGCAACCTCTCCTTTATTTAGTGCCAGGTGCCAGCCCAGTGCTTGGCAACTGCAGCACCTAAATTACATCTCCTGTGGAAACCCTGAGGCAGCTCCAGTGTGGAACCAGAAAGCCCTCAAGCACAGCAGGAATGAGGATATGGTTAAAGAGCTTAAGTACTGCTAGAAATCCCAGCTGATGCTGAGGTGTGCTCTTGAGTCTCAAACTCACATCACAAATGTGATAGCGCAATTTGCATATTCAGGTCCTTGCACTTTTTAAACAATTGATTTTTCTGCAAAGAGCTTCAATACCATGATTTTTCCAGCACTTATTCTAAATGCAACCCTTTGCTTGTTGTGCTTTATGACTTACTTATGAAGGCTTCCATTTTCCTATCATTTTAAATGGCACGTATTTATTCTAATGACACAGACTGAGATATTATTTTGTTGGAGATTTAACTCTTTCAACTTTTGTATTCTAGAGAATATCTTCCACTAAAAGAACAATTATCAATAGTCATGAAGGGCATGTGCTGTTTTATATAGAAAGAGAGTAGATTTTTTTTGTTTTTTCTTGAACAATCTGTGACAGAAAATTAAGGCATGTGGAGAAGCAAGGAGTGTTTTTCTTCCACTCTGATTTTTCCAGTTTTTGGGGTTTGGTTTTTCTATGTAATTTCATCTTAAATACATTTTTCCAGGATTTTTATTCCCCAGGAGGCAGCCAGTCAGGTGGACATGTAAGCATCTATTTTATTTATTATTTGCAGTTCTCTTTCAAAATGGCTGTAGTATTTAAAAATTATCCCAATGAATAAATGACACCAAACCATTAATTTCCTAGAATTTCTCATGACATCTGGCATCTGTCTTGTGAAATCAAATTGCAAACTGTTTGAATAAAAATATTAAAAATTTTGTGTGTACAATAGTCTTGTTCTCCAGAAGCCATTTCAAACAAAAATAAATTGGATCTTCTTTTTGCAGGGGTCATCTTCTCAAAGTGGTAGCTACTCCAGTGGACAGGTAAATACTAAATCTTTGTATTTTTGACCTGAAGAATCAGTCATACAAAAATTTGAGGCTTCATACTGTATTATAGCAATTTTTAATCTGTGAATGAAAAAGATTGGTTCATTCTTTCTTACATAGCTCTATGCAAAATTTCAAATGCAAGCAGAGTAATCAAAATACAATTCATGTATTAACTGATGTTTTAACATCAGGAAAAATGAAAGTAATCAATATTTGACATTAATTTATGTATTTTAAATATAAAGTAAGTGATTTTTATTTTTTTCAGGACTCATCCTCATCTGGAAGCAGCCAGTATGGTGGGCAGGTGGGAAATTTTTCTTCTTCATTGTCGTTGTGAGGGTTTTCCCCCCCATCACACATATTTCAAGAAAATGTTACCAGATGGGTAATACCTAAGTTTCCAGAATACTCTGTTTATTTTATCCTCATTAATCTTTCTATAGATAAAATTGCATTCTTAACCAAATGGACCTTTCCAAACATAGTTAAAAGAGTAAAAGACAATATTTTGTATTTAAATGCATGTGTCACAGAAAAATCTTTCAATAGGAATGTAACATTTACAGGGTTCACCTTCCTCAGGAGGCAGCCAGTCTGGTGGACAGGTATGACTTTCTTTCTCCACAGTCTTCAGCTGGGCTACTGTCAGGCACTCTAATTTATTTCTCTCATCTTTCCTTTACAAGAACTGTTCTCCTTCACCACTGTCCTTTTTGCCCAAAGCCTCAGCAACACATTGTTTTCTTTTGCCATTTGTCATTTGGGCATCCTGCAAGCCAGAGTAGCCAGCAGTAATTGTTTGGCACGTGTATCTCGGCATCTGTACCTGCTTTGGTACTAAACAAAGTTGATGCATATTGAAAGTGTAAAGTGAGACACTGAATGGTGAACTCCTGGCCACCTGTCAGTTAGTTTTGTCAGAGTAGAAATCACCTGTTTTCTGTATCATCTGTAACACGAAACAGTACTGCATGTAGTTCAGGTGCTCTGGCCTGTTTAGAAAAAAAAAATTGCTTTCTGTGGTACTACTCAGAACATTGTATTCATCCTTTTGCTGAGTATTATTTTTAAGGTAAAAATTGTAGGTAATAAAATTTGAAGATTAAAAATGAGCATTTTGTAGCCCCATCAGAGCAATAAATGCAGGAACAGTTGCATAGGATGAAACAGATTCAGTTCTAGAAGTTGGGCAGTTAAAATGTGGCTTTATGGTTTGCATGCCTGGGATGGTAGAAGTAATTTGAATTGTAACTAGGACCCATTTCAGTCCTGTGCTCTTGACATCTTAAACATTTTCTGCATTCTTTACAGGGTGGATGTGATTGTTCTGGGGCAAATTCTGTAAGTGCTACTTGTTCATTATACATTTTCTTTTACTAAACTATTTAACTGGAAAATTATGTGAGATGCTATTTATTTCCAACTTACTTATTTGAATGTACTCTTAATTTTACATTCATTGTTCCTTTGATGACTTAGATGGTTCTGATATGGTGGGAGTTATTTCTTATCATGCCAAGATTCAGTGTTACAGAATCATTGAATCATTTAGGTTGGAGAATGCCTCAGGTCCAACCATTAACTCAGCACCGTCAAGGTCAGCACTTAGCCATGTCTCTAAGTGACACATGTACATGTTTTTTCAATACCTCTGGGGCTGGTGACTCAGCCCCTTCCTCAGCAACCTCTCCAGTGCTCGATAATCCTTTCAGTGAAGAAATAGTTTCCTAAAATCCGATGTGAGCCTCCCCTGGAGCAGCTTGAGACCATTTCCTCTTGTTCGATTGCTTGTAACTTGAATGAAAGGACCAACCCCCACCTGACTACAACCTCTTTTCAGAGAGTTGCAGAGAGCAATAAGGTCCCACCTGAGTCTCCTTTTGTCCAGGCTAAACAAACCCAGCACCTTCAGCTGCTCCTCACAAAGCTTGTGCTCCAGACCCTTCCCCAGCCGCTTTGCCGTTTTTGGACACAATCCCACAATCCCTTAATCCCTTAAAGCCCTTCTTTTACTGAGGGGCCCAAAAGTGAACAAGGATTCAAGGTGGCAGCTTCATCAGTGCCCAGTTAGTGCAGGGGGACAATCACTTCCCTAGTGCTGCTTGCTGGCCACATTATTTCTGATAAAAGCAGGAAGCTCAAAGCTGGCAGTGAGCTGCATTTCTGAGCAGTGATGTCAGCTGCTATACAGTATTTACAGAGATGTGTATCTCTTCTCAAAAAGCCCAAAAAAGATTGCATTAAATAGCAGAGTTAATTGACAAAAGAGCTATCATGAAAGAAAGCTAAAATAATATCCAGTCTATAAAATTGCCAATCATAAAAATTTGTATCAAAAAGCAATGTTTACAAAATTTAAAACATAAACAAAACAAAAACCGGAGCGACTTCTCACTTGTGCTTTTAATTCCATATGAAATTACTTAAGGACAATGAAATAGGATAATCCCTGTTTTCCAAAGCAAATCATATGTGGACTATCAACATGTAGCTTGTAAAGGGCATTCCTGCACCTTGGAAATATTCTTATTTCCTAGGCAATGAATTATAGGTAGACACAATATGAAACTTCATGATTTATGGTCTTGTGGGCCAAAAAAGGGCTATTTTCTCTATTGGCAAATTGATAAAAGTGAAGTATAAGTGTAACTAATTTCAGGCTGAGATATTCCTCCTTTGAAACGCCATGGGACAGACATTCTAAGATTTTTTTTCACTTATAGCTTATGACCAAAGACAAAGGCTAATTTTTCTTTTCTTTTTTTCCTTTATAGGGTGGATCCCCTACTTTAGTCAGAAGTGATTCCTCTTCAAATGTAAGAAATCTTCATCAGCTTTTAAGTGTGTCCTCTGTTTGCTTCATCAATATAATGGCTAGAGAGGATAAAAAGAGTCAGTGCCTAATAGAAGTCATACACTTGTGAAAATAACCTACTTTCGTTACAATTAAAAATACACACAGGACATTCTTTTTAATTTTAACTAAAAAGTGCACACAGGACATTCCTGCAGTGATCCCAGTTTCTCTTTCCATTTGAAATAGTTTTCATTCAAAGAGAAGCCTTACAATGAAAATTTTTTTACAGACACAGGTAGATAACAGTATAAATATTTACATTGGGAGTCAGTTCCATTGGCTTCCTAGGAATTATGTAAAAATATCCCCCAAGGATATGGATTTATGTTATTTTATTCCTCTTAGATTATTTACTGCAAGAAAGTTTAGTATTAGTATTTATGTGCTACTATCTTTCAAGAAGTTTTGCTACAAAAGTGTTATTTAAGAGCAAAATAATTGGTGGTTTTGGTGTTTGCATTTTTCCCCAGGACTCATCTTCTTCTGGAGGCAGCCAGTACAACAGCCAGGTAAGCATTCATTCCAAAAAGAGAGGCAGTTTGCCACTTCTGAAAATGATTGTTAATTCATTCAATAAATTCAATTTTTATATAGGAACTGGGTGAAAAGCAAAAGCCCAGCAAGTGAAATTCATCACTGCGTTAGATATGTCCTAAAAATTATAACAACGGATTTTTTAGCAAATAGTGCCCTGGCTTTGTGAAACTTGCAAAATGAAGCTCAAAAAAAGAAAAAAAAAAACCCAACCAAAAAACGTGTTTTTTGGGGAAAGAGTTAATCAAACTGCATCATTTTTTATTCCTATTTGACCTAATTCCATTACAAAGAAAAAAAAATCCAATCTCCCCTCTTTAAAGAGACCTTTTGTTGTATGAGGTTTCAGCAAATTTCCTTAGTTTGGTTTTCAGAGTCCTGCTAGGTAGCCAATATTTTACTGTGAGCTCTGATCCGGCATTCAGCTTTCCAAATAAAAAAAAAAGTCATTCTCCAGAAGTGAGCAGAGAAAGAACAGAAAAGAATGTCACTTTAACCTTCCCAATGTGTCAGACAAGCAAAGCACTATGTCTTTGCCTGCCACCCTTGCTAAGGATCTCAGGTATTTTCCCAAATTATCTTGCTCAACTTAAATCCTACTTATTAAAGCATTCTGAAAGTCCTGCTCACCTGTCTTCACTCTTTACCTTGGTCTCTTGCTCCTGTTGTCCTGGAAGAGTCATGATTTTATTTAAGGAAATCCTACTGCAGGTAATTCACTCATCTGGTATTCTTTACAGAATTCATATTCCTCTGGAGCTAGCCAGTATGGAGGACATGTAAGTTCTTTCTTTTAATATTTTATATTATATTTTTAATAAATATTTGACTCATATTAAGGACCTCAATTTAATATATCAAGAAAATTGACAGTGGTCTATACTCTGTAGTAATGTTGTGAATTCAAGGAAGACAAAAAACCAGAGTTTATTTTGGGATAATTACACACAAACACTCAAATAACAAAATACAGGTATCTTTGCCACTTCTTTCCATGAATTAGATATTCATAAATAACTAATTATCAATTTTTTTCCAGGAGTCATCTTCTTATGGAGGCAGCCAGTATGGTGGACAAGTAAGCATTAATAGTCCCCATTTTTGTAGTTTATTTACTGTTCACCTGACTGACTCTATCTTAGCTTTAATTTAATCTAAAATCTTTTCAGTAAATCTTTCTCTGTAGTGTTCTGTTGCTACTGTAATTAAACAAAACAAGTTCAGATGAAGATCATTATCTAAGACTAAGAAAAAATAGAATGTGAAATACTTGGTTGACTCAACTGACTTGAAATTTGCAGGACTAGATATCATGTCTCTCTGAAATAAATTAGTACTTTATGAAGCTAACCAGAATTTTTAAAGCCTCATGAAATTATTCTATGAGCTTATGAAACGGGTGTAACAAGGTTTCAATTTCCATTTTTTGTTTATTTTCAGGGTTCACCTTCCTCAGGAGGCAGCCAATATGGTGGACAGGTGAATGTTCTTCCCTTGTAGCATTTACTACCTTATCAAAGAGATTTGGTAGTTCTCTGGGTAAAAGATCATTTTAAGGAGATTGGGTTTTGGTTTGGGGGGTTCTGTCCATTTTTAATCTAACTTGTTGCTAAGTATATAATGGTTATAAATTGGGATGCCAAGCCACAGAAGAGCTTTTAAGATGGAACTTCTGATGTATCATGGTAAATGCAGATGAGCCTCAGCCATTTTGGCACAGTCTGCTTCAGTCCACTCATAGTTCTGGAGTGAAGGAAACTGGGTACTCCTTCATATGGAGCATGGTTTAAAGGAGTACAATGACATGGATATAGAGATTATTCAATTCTTTTTTGTTCAGGGTTCACCTTCTTCAGGAGGCAGCCAGTATGGAGGACAGGTGAGAATCTCTTCTTGTTCCACACCAAAACTTGGTACTTTTATATTGACTGAAAAAATATTTTGTGAAAACTCTGTTTATCTGATAACAGATAGGTATCTAAAGATATATGATCTGAAGCAACACAAAAATTATGAAAATCTGCTGCTTCTGATGTATTAAATGCAGTTCTGGCCTTGTTCTACCCTCTAACCTGCCCTGTTGCTGTAAAGGTTTCTTAGCTCTAACAATAAGGAAGGAGATTCATCCCTGCTCTACCTCATTTCCTTCAGAAAAATGTAGTATGAGTGTTGATATCTAAAAAGCAGTATGGTTTAAAATAGGAAGAGGGGAGAAGGTGAGGAGTTACTGGCTCCTCATGCCCCTGTGAAATGAAAGATGACAGATAGAGTTCCTAGTGCTGCCTGGAGGTATAGCCTCTAATATGGAGTGACACATAAAGCAATAGGCTGTTTACCTTCCTGTCATTGTGCAACAGAGGAAAAACATAGTGTTTCTTTTAAAAGCTCTTAACCTTTTGATTTGAGAAATAATTGGCACCTTTGCTACAGGGTTCATCTTTCTCAAGTGGCAGACCTTATGGAGGACAGGTGAGAATTGTTTTTCTGTTTATGGGTGTTTTCTCCATTGTTTGCCATTTTTTTTTTTTTTTTGTGAAAATCAGAAATTTTTTTAAAGGAGTGTCTTACAGAAAAAACAGGGTTTAGGCAGAATAAATGACTATCTGACTCTGTTGTGCCAGGCCACGTAAGCAAAGTATGGAAGGCTACTGTGAGCGCAGAGTCCAGGGCAGCAGCACTACTCACACCTGCCTGAAACTGACTTTGATTCAAACTTCATTGTTCTGTTTAAACAGCAGCCACTGTAAAGGATTTCAGTGGATTTCAGTATGGTCATAAAGTAAATGTTCATGTCTCTGTGGCTCTTAAATCCAAGGAAGACAAAAATGTGTTTTTCTGCGACAGGTCATGAGCTAAAGAATGTGCAACAAACACAAATGCTTTTTCATTTCTTTAGGGTATAGCTTCTTCGGGAAGCAGCCAGTATAGTGGACAGGTAAAACTTCTACTTTCATGGTATTTGCAGTTTGGGTGCACAGCTCATCAGGAAAACAGATGGGTATTTTTTGCAAAAAGAAAAGGAACATTCTGAGACAGAATAGCATCAGGCTAGGCTGAAGCAGGACTGCTAAGTATGAATCTGTCTGGAATATCAGATCACGTTAAGAGCAAATGATACAGGGGCCTGTGACACTGCATGGAAATGTTTCTTCAACATATCACGGTTTAAGAAGATAATTTTTTGTGTTATGTTTAAATGGAAGCAATTTGAAATTCTGAGAACCACAGAGAACAAGTGAGAATGTTACTCAGTGACACAGAAGTAATTAAGTTACTCATTTCTTCCAGGGCTTTTCTTCAGGGGTCAGACAGTCTGGTGGACAGGTATGTTGTCTCTCTCTGCACTGCTCAGTACTGCTAGTGTCATATACTCACAAATTGCTTTGTGTAACTTTCCTTCACAGAAACTGTTTCCAGTTACACATTTTATCCAGATTCAATATGGAAAGTGAAGCACTGAATAGTAAATGCCTGGCTGCCTCTAAGTTTTATCAGAGTAGAAGTTACTTAATTGGCCTCCACTGAAAGTCATCTAAAGAGCACTGCATGTATCTATAAGACCATAGAGTATGCTGAGTTGGAAGGACCCATCAGGATGATCCAGTCCAACTCCTGGCCCTAAGCAGGGCACCCCAAAAATGACACCATGTCCCCGAGAGCATTGTCCAAATGCTACTTGAATCCTGACAGGCTTGGTGCTGTGATCACTTCCCTGGGGAAATTCTAGTTGCTCTGGTATCCTCAAGGGAAAATAAAGCATAAGCAGTATTACTATTCAGAATTTTTTTACTTATCCTTTTGTGAGTATGTTTTACTGTAAATTTTAAATGAGAAGTTAGAAGATTCTATTTTAAAATTTGATCAGTAAGTGCACAGCTAGTTTAAAAGGGCAGGGGAGAGATAAAGAAACTGCCTCTTCATATGGAGCTTGGTAAGTTGATGAGCAGTGTTTTATAGTCCATTTTCTTAGAGTAGCAGAATATGAGTTTGATTTACTAATTCAGAGGGCTATTCCAATCACAGACCCAGGAAAGTAAGTCTGGTTGTGTTTTGTACAGGGTGGGTGTGTGTGCCCCGGTGGAGGTTCAGTAAGTATTTTTTGTCTTTATATATTTTTCATAGTATGTACAAATGCTGGAAAATTCCCAAGGAACTACACTTCTTGAAATAATTTTGTCTGTGAAGTTCTATGTATGATGAAATATTTTTCCACATTATGCTAAAATGATCAATTTTGAACCTGCTAAAGGCAAAAATATTAAGTGACTTGCAACCATATTATTGTATTCAAAATACAAGCTACACAGTTTCTAAGAGAGGCCTGGGACTTTTCTAAGAATCTATGTCACAAATATCTCATAGTGTACCTGTTGGGTTTTGGACTTTGCTCTTATGATAGTTATTAGCAGTATGATTGAACTAGTGAAACTTAGATTAAAATTTTGGCTCCAAATGCTTTCAGAATGGGGCAGAGAAACACATTTGAAAAAGTTAAAGCTATTTCCATTTTTCTGTCTAATTAGTATATTATATAATAATTAGAAATAATAATAGAAATATTTCCTATTTCTTTGTAAATTCCTCGAAAAAAAATCCAAAAACCCCCAAATATACATTCAGTACAGTCAAAATTTGCTTGGATCACTACTTCTCTTTATTGGTCCGTGTAATCAAGCAAAATGATACACCCAAGTATATAACCCATGGTATATATGCCAATTTTGAGGATCAAAAGTGTTGAAAACAACATATAAATTAGAATTTATATAAACAGAAATTATATAATAATAATTATTATTATAATAGTCACTTATATACACATTATATATATACACATATATATTCCTTGACGTATAAATCAAGATGAATCAGAATAATAGTAAGCAGTGTAAATGACTTGATCATTGCAGTAGGTCAGTGTGTTCTCTTGGATTTCCTCTGTGTGACACTGAGGTTAGTACAGAGTAAACATTGCTGTTTCTGTTGAATGCAGGGCTCTTTCGCAGGAACCAACTACCATGGTGGACAGGTAGGCAGTTTGTCTCTAACATTTACAAAGATTAGTTCCTCAGGAATAAACATGGCTCAGTTGTCATATGTGCCAGCAGCCATTAAATATTGAGCTCAGTTTAGCCACAGAGATAGGTACAATAATTCCAGAGAGTGCAGGGGGTTTTTATTCAGTCACTCTTGACATTTCAGTTATATCCTTCTATATACAAGGGCCAAGGCTTACTTTGTAGTTATAAAAGCTTTCTTACCTTGAAAAACTACTGAAGAATCATTCACAGGGTTCATCTCACTGCATAAACCAACAATGTGATGTGTGCACAATTAGTCATCTGCTACTGCATTAGTAACTGTGTAAAGTTCTTCCAGTTAATCAGTGTCATGACTATTGTTTATATTATATGAGGTCCAGGATCTTTTTTTGTCATTTAAAAATTTGTTGCTATTAAAAAAAAAAAAAAAAGTTTATTAAAAATTTGCATTCTTTTTATAGGGTTCATATCCTGGAAGTAATCAATATGGTGGACAGGCAAGCAAATTTTCTTTGTTTTCAAGATCTTACTCCTATTTGAAATTTATCAGCTGAAAAAGTATCATGCAGTACATATACTGACAGTTTTTAGGGTCATTTTACTCCTAATAAATATTAGGAAAAAATAGTACCTGAAACAGGTACTGTCAGTAGCTGGAGCTTACTCAAAATGGAGTAGCATGAATAAATTTCCATGCAAAGAAATTCCATAGATCATAATTTTAGTTGTTTTACCTCAGAATGCCTCTTATCTCAAGTGATTATTTTAATATTTACATTAAATACTTGGGAAATTAGGTAGAATAATTAGGCAGAATAAACCAATAGATACTGCTTTAAAAATATAAATTCGTGTGTGTTGCACACAATAACACTACTTTCCTCTTCAGGTCACCTCAAGACTCTTCCTGTTAAGCGTGTACCTTTATGCAGACTGTTTGCCACTGATTCAGAAATGTCACTAGTGCAAATAGCTGACAGATGAAATGCATGACTAACTCAAAAGATGGAGCTTATTTTTCATTAGTATTACTGTGTTTGCAGTGTCTCACTCTACCATAATAAAAAAAATTAATTGCTTTTTACTCCACTGGCAAGCATTGGTGTTCAGTATCGCTATTAAAAAGATAATCTCACGTAGAATGGAGAGGATTCTTAACAGCTGCAAATAATTTTTTTTCCCAAACTACCTATTTGGTAATATTAACAAGTGTTTTTACAATAATACATATGGTGTTCTCTAAACATGTCTGACAGAGTAGAAAATCACAAATAGAGGCAATTGGTTTTTTTCTCTTCAATAGAGCCATATATAAGACACTTTTGATCCATTTATTTATGGAACAGAACAGTCTCAGCAGGTGTTTTGTGACCACCCAATTTACTACTTTCAGCTGTTGAAGAACTTTGAGGCATTAGATCAGAAGTCTTTTTAGACTGCATTTTTTTAGATTAATATACTTTCCAGATTATGACTGAGATTTCCTGTAAAAAGTCCAGTGATGCTTCATTTTGCACAGAATAACAAAAAGTAACTGCTGTTAATTTTCTGTGATTTTTTTTTAATAGGGATCTTATCCCTCAGGAGGCAGCCAATATGGTGGGCAGGTGAGTATCCTCTTTCCATCCCATCACGTCAAACTCTTTCCTAACACAGTTTCTAGATCAGGTCAGTTACTTGATGCTGACAGACACATTAATTTGGCCATTTCATTCAGTTTAAACAGTGGAGACAATACGGATGAAGTCATTTCAGTAAGGTGAATGAAAGATTTGGTTACAATGAGTTACTGCTCTGAATAAAATATTCCTTTGAACACGCTATAGTTGCCAGGCTGTATTTCACAACACTGCTTTCTTGATTCTTGTGCTGAGTAGTACAGAGTGTAAATTTTAAGCATCCCATTTACCTTTTTTTGTTCAAAGAACACCCAAATAAGCTTGTCCTAAGTACTGCAGAAATTGTCTCAAGAGAGTGACAGAAGATTTTACATTCAATTAATACAGGTTTGATTGACTTCTTACAGGGCTCATATTCTTCTGGAGGCAGACAGCATGGTAAACCAGTAAGTACAAAACATTCAAATTTATCTTTCTCTTTTCTTATACGCCTGCTTTAAAAAATTATATCAAGTTAGTTATGGACTAGACAGTTAGAGAATTACTTTAATATGCAAAGAGTGGCACCTGATTTACTTATCTGGGATACTCTCAACAAATGCAAAGACAATATTTATTTTCACACAGTTTTGAGACAGCACTTTACTGTGTAGCTGAACTAGTAATCACAGAATGAGTCCACTGGATTTTTGTGTGTGTGTATGTAAGGAACTCCTGAACAGCAATTTCTGTTTAAATTAATAATAATAATACACTTTGTGCTCAGAGCTCAGTTTTTCATCGATTTTGTATGAATTTGTCTTAAGCATTTCTGTCTTGCTTTGAAGAAAACACTTTTCTTTTTTAAAGGAAATAGTTGCCATTTAACTATGCATATGTTCAACTTCTACCATTTCAGACTACTCTTTTTACTGTAATTTGGACCTCACCCTTGCCATTCAATGGCAGTTGATACAAATGTTTTAGCTTATCTCTTACAGAAAAGATGTACTTGTTATTAAAAGGTGATCATAAATGTTAAATTTTCTAATACATGAATCCTAAAGGTAGAACATTTTATGTATGTATTTGATGGCATTTCTTAAAACTTAAATGATTGTAACATTTCCTGTTGGCAATCCCATTCAAATAAGCAGAGCCATTTCACCAGAAAACTGAATAAGATGCGTTCAGACACCTATTTTTCTGTACCTACTTTTATTTTCAACTACTTTTCTTATTAGAGTTTCCTTTAAGTAGGGGCTATAGAGTAAAGGCCTCTTATAATTTGCCTTTTTTTGTTGGTGCTTTTTTTTCCCCAAATGTAACCATATGCTGATACCAGGAGAATTATGGTTTAATTGGACCTTATTATTTTTTCTATTCCATATATTAAACACAACTATAAACCAGTTCTTTTTTCTTGAGAATTTTGCATTAAATTGTCCAATACAACATTTGAAAGAACACACATAACAGAGAATGTTAAAGATATGTATTTCAGATAAGGTTTTGCCTGGGATTTTTAGATGACAATACAAAACAGTGTTCATTCTTCTGTGGTCTTTAATTACAGACAGCAAGGCTATTTAAGCACAAATAGACTTAGAGTCAAAAACAGCTATCTTTTTTCAGGGTTCTTCTTCCTCAGGAGGCAGTCATCAAGGAAAGCCAGTAAGGATATTCTTCTTTAAGTATTCTGCAACCAAATTAGAAATGGGGATATTGGGTTTTAAGATAGGTAACAACAATGAGGGTGAAATTTTAAATTGTGTTACAATGGTAAAGGTATGAGAAAAATTACCAATAAAAATTGGAATATTTTGCTGAAACTTAGGATGAGGCAGCATTTATTCCTCCGATAGCAAAGTTTTTATATACTCTGTTACTCATAGGAACATGTTTGGGTCATTCTAATAAGAATGATGCATTTAAATATCAGGGTAATAGTTTTAGTTTCCACCTCTGTAGTTCGGACAAGACACGTTGCTTTGACCTATTCCTCTGAAACTCTTCCTGCAATAAAAAGGACATAGCTGTGCTTATTTGAGACCATTAAATTAAAATAGGGGGGAAAGTGCAGTGAAAATGGTAAAACTAAAATCAGACCCGATATTAATCCAGGGTATTTTCAAGATTGCTGTGTGCTCTTTGGACACTGTTCACTGCAACCTTGTATGACAAAATTAAATGGTTCATAATTATTTCACAGGGTGGCTCTGGCTCAGGAAGCACTTACTCTGGGAAACCGGTAAGAATACTTTCATCACAGCACTTAAATCTTCTTTTCTCAGTAGACAAAGAAGCTGGGTGGTGGGTAGAGAAATTTTGGGATGACTTGGTCTGAAGAGAACTATGTGTATTAATATTATTTCAATCTTCCTCTTGAACAACTTAAAGCCATGCTGTGGGTTAAGCTATTAAAATCTTGTTGATCACAGGAAAAAACTGTGTTCAAAACCATTGGCTGGGGACACCTCTATAAATGTATTTGTTTGTTTGTTTTCAGCAATCACCTTACTCAGGCGGCAGTCAAGTGGTAAGAACTTTTCCTCTATAGTTTCTACTAGTTTCTTTCTATAAATGTCAGAAAACTGAAAGCTGTCAAATTTCCTACATCTGAATAAATGTTTGAGAACACATGTGCAACATAATAAATGAAATAGTCTTAAACAAAAATGAAAAGTGGGACCACATAGGTGCTTTATACTTTTGACCCTGACTGTCACTGAAAAATATGTGTGGATATAAATGTGGCACAGGATCTTTTGACATCAGAAGTGTCTACGTAACAGATGGGGCTAATAGAAAAAGATTTCTCTGAAAATTTCTATGCTTTTATAATAGCAATAAAGAGAACTATTTAGGAATGGGTTTATCAAATTTCTCTCTCTTTTTTTTTTTTTTTTTTTTTTTTTATATAGAGCTCTGCTGGGAAACACTCTACTCCCCAACTCCTGATGTTATTCAGTGTTTTGAGTGCCTTTGCTCTCTCTGCTGCTGTATCAAAATGGTCTATATGAACTTCGGAAGTGTTGACATCCTAAACACGGATTATAATCTGTATTATTAGGTTACTTAATATAAGAAAAAAAATACCATTAAGTCAAATTGGCAGATGTTACTTGGCTGTTATATTGCATGTCTAGCTGGTATGTCATGCCCCTCATTAGTTTACCTCTGGTTTTAGTCATTAGTAGTTATCATTAGTTGTGTCAGTGTTTTAGGCATCATTTTAAAAGAGCATATGGTACCCTACCTATAGGACATATTTTTATTTCCAATAGGGAATGCGATGAACACCTACCTGAAATGATTGGTGTGACAAATGAATACTTAGGGAAATATTTGGTTATGAACCAAAGTGGACAAGGTGAAATAAACTATTGTATATGCAAACCAAGCACTGTGCCTGGTAATCATGGCATAAGGTAAGGCTAATGTAAACTTCTGATAAGCAGTCTCCATGGGACAGAAGAAAAGATGCTGAAGTACTATTAGAGCATTGGTTTTAATCTTTTGTAATCAAATGCAAATTCAGTATGGGGATTGCAAAGAAAAAAAAAAAGCCAAAAAAAAAAAAAAAAAAAACCCAAAAAAAAAAAAAAAACTCCACAGACTGAATTTTTCGGGTTATTTAAAGTTTATTCATTAGAAAAAATTAACAGATCAGAGCAAAGACATTATGAACTCCATTCAAACCAACTGCAAATACCTAGAGTTCTGTAGAGTAGCATATGAGGCACATATACCCCAGATTAGGCTGATAAACTAAAATCTGCTGAAAAAGAAAGCCTTTTTTTCTTGGAAGGAATAGAAAAATAATTAAATTCATAAAACTAATACCATCTTGGCTCCTTTTTTCAAGTGTTTAGTTTAACCTGTGATACCTCATGTATCTGAAAGGTTAATTTCATGAGTGCATCTTCAAGCAGGTACATCAGTGTGCCCGCTGAAATACCAGGGCCCGTTTTTGAGTTCAGAAGCAGTTCCACACCTTGCAGCAAACACTTCTGGAGCTCTCAGAGCCACCTTCTGTTTGGTGTTAACAAAGCGCATTCACCGAAAGCATTCTTCTAATGAACGTGTTATTGAACATGTGCCTGCTATCAAAATTACCATCACTAGTAGCGTGCTTTCCTGTCACGGTTTACCATTGTAATTGCTGGGAGAGGTTTCCATTCAAGTTCTACCAGCTTCCGCGGGGCAGGATTTCACCCGGTTTTGATGTGCAGCACTACCCTTTGCCAACCATCGGCAAATCAACCTGCAATTGAAACACAAATGCCTATGTACGATCTCCAAAATTCGGTGGACAATTTGTTTCTCCGGACAACACAGTAATGTTCTGTTTGAGAGGTCCGTACCTTAATTCGAACCAGCCCTACCCTTCTCTAATAAATTTGTGGTGGGTTTCATACAAAACGCTCGTGTCGGTGGCTCACGGTTTGGGCGGGTCACGGCCCGTGCCGCTCCCCGCGCCGCAGGGACTGCCGGCTCCGGGCGCCGCCCGTGCCCCGCGCCGCTGCCCCTCACACGGCCGGGCCCTGCCCCGGCCCCGCGCCCGCCCGGCCGCTCCCGGCTCTTGCTGCAGCCGCGGCCCTGGGAACGGAGCGGGCGGGGCTCGGCTGCAGCCGGAGCCTTTGCGGGACGGGACCGCGGCTCCCGGAAGCACCGGGAGCCGGAGCGAGCCGAGCTGGGCCGGCGGTGAGCGGCGAGCGGGGCCGCCGGGCGGGCGCGCAGGTGGGAGCGGAGCCCGGGCGGGGCCGCCCCGCGCGGAGCGGTGCGGGGCTGTGCGTGAGGGGCGAGCCTGAGGGAGGCCCGGGAGGGAGACGTTTGGGGGTAGTGGATGGGGCGGGAAGCAGGGCTGTGGGAGCAGGCTGGGGAGGGAAAGGGTGGGATTGAAGAGACACCGAGAGAAATGTGTGCAAATGGAGCCGCTTGGGCAAGAGGGAGGAGAGGGTGAAGTTGAAGTTGTGGTGGGGAAGCGGCTGAGTGTGAAGTTGGGAAGGGACACGGATCTGCCCAGAGCTGTGTCAGTGCTGCTGAGGTTGTGACTCCCTTGCTGGTGCTCTGCTGAGGAGATGCTCACTATGTGTGATGTGGTGCTGCATGTGTAGTTCACAGAAATGCACATTTTACAAGTATTTGCATGGTTATCATAATTCTATACCAAGTTTTTGAAATGAGAAACGCTCTAGTGGTACAGCACTTACGGATTAAGCAGAAACTCAGAGGACAGAGAGATAACAAATGTAATAATGCGTATTATGGAATAAACTTAAAGATAAAAGACAAATATCAGAAGGTACCTGAAGTTGTTTCGTTTTATTAAATCCTATAAACTATGTTTTAAACCAGAGGGAGGAATACTTGGATTCCAGATAAAATATTTTAAGGTAGTGATTGAGTGAAGAAGACTGACACAGCTTTGAGCAAAAGAGGGGTGTGTTATTTGGGACATAAAGAACGGATGCAACAAACCTTTCTAAAGCTGAGTGAGAACCACCTGAGTGGGAAGTTTTATTTTTCATGGTGGTCTCTGCATAGGAGGATTGGGATCTAAGACAGCCTTTGCTTTTTAAAGACCATATGTGCAGAATGACAAAGTGAGTCTTGGAATTAACATTAGGTGATGGACTGCATTTCTCAAAATCTGTGGGGTTGCCTCTCTCCATAGGCACTGCACTTGACTTACCATTGTGCTCACTGAGTTGAGCTACAGGCTGCAGGGTGAGTGCAAGTGAGGTGACAGTTTCGGAAAAAGTGATTTACAATAATCTCTGCCTTTGGAAACTGTAGTTCATTGTTCTCTTGTACATTGTTTGGCATTGTGAGAAAAACGTGTGGTTGAAAATCACAGTTCTGGACGATAAGTATCCATTGGTTTGGGATGCATGATGTTCTGGTTGGTAGAAGTAGTATGTGTAGCAAAAATACTAATTTGGGGAAAGACTGGTTCTAGTATGAATAATAAGTATGAATTTGCTTTCTTTAGAGCAATGTATTGTTAGGAGTAACTCTGCCTCCAACAATCCTACAGGCTGCCTACACAGCCTCATTCCTTATTCGAGTGATGCTGTTGTTTGCAACAACGAGAAAAAGGTGGGAATCATCTGTGCCAAGTACCTGTGGAATTCAAGTCACATGTCCCCTTAAACCAGTTCTGGATTTGGCAGTGTTAAGGGAGCACAACACATACTTATCTTTGGGACAGGCTAGCTAGACACAGTTATTCCTCCCATACTGTTCTTGAATTGCTTGCTGCCTGTGCTTATTCTTCACTGGTTACTTCAGTTCTCACCGTATTCAAGCTGCTTGTGCAGGCTGCGTGCTTGTTCTGAAACTCAGGAGGCTGCACAGCTGGATCACATCAAAGGAGGATGTCTCTAGAGGGGAGGAGAGATTGTTAACATTGTACTTCTCAGGATCTGGCATGATAGAGTCAGATGGTTCTGGGTTAGGAGTTCAGGATTTTGCCACTGGATTTCTGAACTTTGTCTTACATTTATATCTCTTCAGTGCAGTTCAGTTGTCTCATTTTATTTGTAATTACTAGCATGCTGCAGTGCTTACAGATTGATTTTCCCTGGAGGATCTAGTTTGTGTTATTCTACTCCAAGTAGGTCACCTTGACTGAGGTGTTTGACACACTGTGTTGCCTTGAGCACCCAGATTTGATTTGTAATTCATAAATAGCATAAGTGTAAGCTGCAGCTGAACCCCAGCTAGATTCAATGTTCAGTCTTTCAGCACCTTAAATCAAGCTCCTTCATTGGCTTATACATCTGCAGGAACTGCATTCCAGCAGTCCTTTGGTTCATGGCGTTGCAATCCTGTGTGCTTCAGGAGGGGTGGGCATTTGAACTGAAACCGAGAACTGAATGGCTCCTTGCTTGCAGAGGCTGAGTGTGGCTGCTGGGATCTATCTGTACTGTGATCTATATAATGAGCACAGTGTATGTACTGTGTGAAAACGAGATGCAGTTCAGGCAGCTTGTATCAAATTTCTGTGCAGGCAGGCAGAGTTTGGCTTAATGACTGTTAAGTCAATATAAAACTATTGCACTACTGGGCAGAGTTGAAGTCTTCATCTTACAAAAAATGCTGGTGTTAACATTTAGCTCAATGAGGGCCTGAATTTCCAGAACGCAGAATATTTATACTCCGTATGTGATTTGTATAATATTCATCAAACCAAATTTTCATCAGTCAAAAAAATACAATTTCTGGATTCTTAGGTTTGGTGTAAAGGCTAAGGGTAGTGGGCTTAAAGAGCACTTAGCCACAGATCCCACATTTTAAGATTCACAATGCTTTACTCTTCCTGCCTGATACATAGATTAGAATGCTATTTTTTTTCCCACAAAAGAAAGAAACAAACGCAAAACCTTTGGGAGCTCATAAAACAACTCACCCACGTTCCCTTTCTGCTCAGTTCTCTGTCATGTAAGAAAACCTTGCCTGAGTCCCAAGGAATTTATAGCATTCTCTGAAATGAGACTTTAGTTAATAGTTAATATGGAATTGCATTCCTTTTGTTAAACTTGGCAGTGTTGGAATTTCCTGGTTGAGTGATATATATGGCCAGTGAATCACTGATACAGCCTCCACTATCTTTGGCTGAAGCCAAGGTTTTGGAGCAAAGTTGAGAAGAAATTGTTGGTTGATCTTTAACAGTTACCATTTAATGAGTAACTGCTCTGAACCTAGGTGCACTTGCCAGTTTTGAAAACCATCTGCATGGTTTTAAAATGGCCAAGAGTTGTGGTTTGACCCCAGCTGGCAACTAAGTACCACACAGACACTTGCTCACTCCCCCTGCTAGTCTGGGGCAGACAATTAGAAAGATAAAAGTGAGAAAACCTGAGAGTTGAGACGCAGACAGTTTAGTAGGTAAAGCAAAAGCTGCACATGCAAGCAAAGCAAACCAAAGAATTCTTTTACCACATTCCATGGGAAGGCAGGTGTTCAGCCATCTCCAGGAAAGCAGGGCTCCATCATGTGGAACAGTGACATAGGAAGACAAACACCATATTCTGAACCTCGTCCCTCCTTTCTTCTCCCAGCTTAATGTACTGAGCATGACTCCATCTGGTCTGGGATATATCCCTGTGGTCTCTTGAGGTCAGCTTTCCTGGCTGTGCTCCTCCCAACTTCTTATGCCTTCCCAGCCTCCTCACTGGTGGGGTGGAAGGCAGAAAAGTGTAGTTGCTGATCAACAATAGTGAAAATGTCCCTGTGTTATCAGCACTTTTCAGCACAAATCCCAAATCCCTGCCAGCTGCTGTGCAGAAAATGAACTCTACCCCAGCCAAAACCAGCGCATGAGATACGGTTGTGCCTAGGGAGCAAGATGACGTTGCAGGAGCAAGGTCCTCCAGTGATCTACTGTGTTCTACTTGATCACATTGTCTTTAAAATACCATTTGAATGGAGTTATGCTTTTAGTTCTTTTCACTACTTAAATTTTTTTAACGTAAGTTGAGAAATTGGAAATACTGCCTGAAGGAATCTTTCATATGAAAAAAAAATCTTGTTCCTCAGTTTCTGCTCAAAGAGTAAGCAACAGACTTTGCTAGAGGATTTGCTTTTTACCACATTTCTGAAGAATTGTACAAACTCCAAGAGAAGCACAGTTTTGTTTTTTTTCATAGTGTACTTAGTGCACTTTATAATGCCTCCAGCAAGAAAAATGAGTAACAAACTGGAAAACAAAAGAAAGAGCAAGGTAAGTTTTAAAATTATGAAGTTATTTGCAGTGATTTAGTTGCAAAGTGCCAGGTATTTGGGGAGGAACAGCTGACAGTTGTAGACAGCTTATGGGAGGGAACAAATAAGAAACCTGTTAGCAGTATGAGGAAAATGGAAAACATAGTAGTGCCATTTTAAAGTGAGAAATACAAAATATTTAGGACATGCATTACTACAGTTACAGTGACACGACAGATTTCCTCTTGTGGTGGTGAGGGGAGAAAGAAATGCATTGTAAAATTTTAGCAGTCCAAATATGGCAGTTAAATTATTTGTGTGTCTGTAAAATCTACTTCAGAACACAGTTCAGTAGCACTTAACTGGATTTGGAGAGGCCTATGCACCCTCTGTACCATGTGGGATAATTGTCATAACATTACAGAATGGTTTGGGAAGGGACCTTAAAGATCATTTGTTTCTGACTCCCTGCCCTGAGCAGGGACACCTTCCATAGACCAGGTTGCTCAAGCCCATCCAACCTGGCCTTGAGCACTCACTTACAGTAATGGAGTTTCTCCAGTTCTCTGGGCAGCCCGTTCCTGAACTAGCCCAGCCCACGCCCAGGCCCTTGCACTTAGCCTTGCTGAACTTCATGAGGTTCCTTCTTTCCATTTATTTATATACTTGAAGTATATGTTGTATTATGTACCACCTGTGAGAAATACAAAGCTATATTCACTCAAAAAAAAAATAAATTATGGAATAGAACTTTCTCTGAGGAATGTAGTTGTGTTGCAGAAAATGGCATGTTACTTGTGTGTTATCCAGCACAGGGAAGAGGGCAATGTGTGTAGAAAGTAAGTAAAGCATAGAAAGAAGTTTTATAAAGATAGGTTCTTTAGGTTCTGTGAGTTATCTCTTACTCCACCTTCCAGTTGGGCTTTTCCTTTGTTGACAGCTTATTGTATTTGTATAGCTGTGGCGTCAGCACTAGGTTCATATTTCACTGGAGAAATATGAGAACACCATCCTGTTTCTTTAATCTCTTATCCTGACTTCAAAGCAGGTGCTCAGGAAGTGTGCCCATACATGTACCACTGGAATGACACAGAGGCAGGCTCAATCAGTGTTTATTTTCCAGCGGATCCCATATGGAGAATTTGGTGTAGTAGCACAGAAAATTTAAACTTTGTCTTTGGCAGTTTTGAGAGGCTGGTTGTCTACTTCTGTGTTGGGCTTTGCATTTTAACTGATACACAAATGCCTTTTGTTGGTTGAGCAATGTTAAACTGATTAGTCATAAAATGGAATAAGACCTAGGAAAAATAACTCCTATAACTTGGCTTTTTTACTCTAAAAAACTGTCAGCAATGAAAACATTTCACAGCTAGGCTGGAAGGAATTTAATTCACGTAATGACATCACTGTTAAGATTTGGAGCATGATACTTCTTAGTTAATTTTCCTTTTTTTTTTAATTAAACTTGTGACAGAGTATGGAGGAGTAAAGAACTAGTTGCCAATAGAGGTTATTTTTGTCAAATCTTTTGTGAATTTTACTTACTTTTTTGTTGTGAGACTTGCTGGAATTTACTGTTATTTTTTTTCTTGTCTTTAATCTACTTCTTCAGATAATGTTGGGTGCTTGGAGTTTTTCCTATAGGTTTCTCTGATACTCCCTGTAATTCTGATTTTGAGTCCTTCTACAAAGTTAAGAATAGAATCAGTTAATAGACTAATCCTTAATTTTGCATAGGATTTTGCAACAGTAGATACTTATAAGCTTCAGAAGTTTATACCATCAGATCTTAAAAGACAAAATCTTAAGGTTAGGAAAAGTCCCATAATCTTATTGCTCTGTAGTAAACACTGATTAGTATCAAGGAGTTTTGGTATGCTGTTCATTAAGTCAAATTGATTATGGCCTAGTTTCGTCTGTAAATTTACCAGTATTTGAGGAGGGAAAGTGTAGGGATGAAGTAAAAATAAAATGTAAAATATTAAGTTTTAGCCTAGGTTGCAGGTATTGCAAAGGGAGATGAAAATCTGCAAGTCAGAAATGTATTCATTTTTTAATTAATATTATGAGCTGAAAATATGTGATTTTTCACTTTAAAAAAAATCTGCTTCTTTTGAAGAGTTATTCTTCAGACTTTGGACAGTATGGTACTTTGAGCTGAAAGTATTACTTCCTGTATAGATTGCTTTGCTTTGATTTGTGTTCTGAAAACCTTTCCAGGGTCCTTCTCCTTTTTACTTTCAAGGAGAACAGCTCTTCACAAAGAATCCAAATTTTATGCAGCTGTGTGTACTGAATCCAAATGTTATGTGGCTGTAAATCCCACCTTGGCTTCCTGAGTATTGGCTCCTTTATAGGGCTGCCTTCCTTGTGGCTGCAGGGTGTGTCCATGGCACACCGAAGAAATGACGCAGAAGGAACTGGGTTTTTTTTAGCATAGGCTAACAGAAGAGTTAGTCTATGTTTAAAAAATAGACTAAAATAGGAGTTAAAACAAGAGTGACGAGCCCAGTCCCTGAGGCGAGTTATTTGGTATCATAGTCAGGGAACTGCAGGTCCTTAGCACGGCCCGGTGTAAGGTGCAGTTCAAAAGTCAGAGTTCATGTCACCACTCGACTTCCAGTCTTTGAATTAGCAAATCTAAATCTGAGTTTTCAAACAGATGCATCCTGCAGAGTACCAAGCAGTGCATCCAAAGCCCAGTAAGAAACCCAAGTTGTAAATCTGTACAGGAAATGCAGTGAGAACTTCAATATCATTGTTGGTTTATGACAATCCAGGTGTGGACTGTTACTGGAAGCAATAGTTCATTTGTTCTGTGACTGCACAGGCTGTTGCTGTGAGGATAGCAGGAGCTCATGGCTACAAGTGAGCTCTTACACCTCTGATAGTCACCTCTAAATCTAAAGGTGCTGTATGACTGCAGTTGAAGACAGCCCAACTAAAGTTCACTATCTTGCTCCTTTTGTGGATTGTTCCCAGTTTGCAAAAGAGGTCTGTGAGCTAATAAACAGGTTCTTTAAAAGAGAAGAGACCAGGAGACCTGATGAGGTGTTCTGTGTGCTTAGGAGAGAGTGGTTATATCATTGGCATGTGTACATTTCAGAACTCTAGTTCCTGCTTGGTGAACCACCTTGTAAGTACAGCATGAAACTTCACACACTTGCTGTCTACAAGCCTGTCTTGTTGACCACTGACAGGACAACTTTTAAAAAATACCCTTATTTCAGCTATCATGCTGAACACTTAGGTTCCATTCTGTGTGCACTTCTGGAACTCTGAAATGCATTAGTGACTTCCTTGCATTAACAGGAAATATTTCCTGCTACTGGTGCCTTTTTGAGACACGTTGTTTGGGGAAAGTTCCCTTTTTCTATTATGATTTCTGTGGAAGAGAAGACAGAAGTTAAAGATAATGATGTGGTATGGATTCTTTATGGCTTTGTTTATGGGCTTATCAAAGTGTTGTGCTTGTTGGTTTATTTTCATGCTGATTGCTTTGATACTTGCTCCCTACCATACTAGTGATTTACTTTTAAAATTACGTTTTAAGCTGCTTCCTAAATAGGTGGTTGTATTTTATAAAAAAAATTAATGTGAACATTATTTTTAATATTATTGCCTGTTTGGAAGGTTACAGTTTTGATACCTGATGATTTTTGACATTTGTAAAACCCTTTGTCATTTCACAGGCTGACAGAATGCAGAAATTTGGGTCCGAGTCAGGACAGATATGTGTGTTCCCATAATATGTATTTTGTTCAGGAGCATTTTGAAAACTAAAAACAAACAAACAAATAAAAAACCCCAAAACAAGTTTTAAAACCTACAACTTAAAGTTCTAAGGACTTATTTATCTGTAGGTGTGCTTTCATAAAATTTAGTGGTTTTTGTCTTAACAATATGTTGCTTTTTATTTCCAGTTTTTCAGGTCTGAATACTAAAAAATGAGGTAAATGGGAACAGTGAAAGAAATTGTTTGTTCAAGTAGGCTCACATAAATGTCAGTTTTCTCTAGTATCATAGGCAAGCCTTTTAGTGACATTCAGTATTCTTCTCTCAGTAGGGTTTTCTTTCCTTTACCTTTTTTCCCTCTGTCTTTGCGTGGCTGGTACTTCTCCAGAAAGCATGGTCTCTGAATGTGCTTGTCACTTCTTCATCACTTTGCAGGAACTGTTCTTTTTCTCCTACTTGTTCTCAGCTGTAGCAAAGTTATTCATCAAAGCTATTGTTCTTCAACTAACATATCATCTCAGTTTTGTTGTTTAGGGTGCATAATTCCACAGTTAACACCCTCATGTAATGGATTATTTCACCAGAACCAGTGGAAAATAGCAAATCTTGAGTATTGTCTGCAGCTTTCTTCTTGTTCATGGTTTATATTTCTGTCTGATTCATATTGCTCCAGTTGCATCTTTAGTGTTTGTTTCTTCAGAAGTTAAATGAGATTATAGTTCATACAAAAGTATATCCTATTAAGATTCCTTAATGAAACCTTGTGTATTTCTGCATCCTGGAATTTTTTTCTTCCTTATTTGCCAGTGTGCTTTTACAAATGCATGATTTGTGTACTTCATATACACACACAATAAAATACAAGTGTGTACTTCATAACTTTGTGGCTGTTGATAATTCTCTCCTGTTTGCAGGTTACTGCAATGTCTTTTAAGTGTCACTGTCATATAGGTAATAATTTGACTTTGAATATTTGACTGGAGAGAAACTATAAATGTTTAGAGACAAGATAAGGACAAATCAGAAATATTTGAAGAATGTAGTTCGCCAAATGTCTACAAAACCAGCAATGAAATGCATCTTGAGCTAGAGGAATGCAGTTGGCAAGAAACTGCTTTAGTTCTAGCCACAAATACTTAGAGGTAGCAGCACATCCTTGAGCAGTGTGGACAGAGCTGTGTAGTTAATGAGTCAGAAGTTGTGTGCCTGCAGGTGTAAAACACAAGGACAGCTCTGCCATATGCACCCAGCAAGTGGGCTGTGTCTTGACTTCTGAAATTAACCACATGCATTGTCTTGGCTTGTTACTCTTCTTTTGCTTGTAAACATAGTTGTAAACTTCTGGTTATTGTTCTGATTTAACTTTGGCATTATAAAAAATGGCTGTTTTTGAATAAGTGGGTAATGAAGGGAGTAGAAGATAAGCTTTTATAGAAAACAATAGTTTCTGTGTATGAAAGTTCTTTATATGAAGCATAGCAAAAATTATGTGATAGTCTGAGTAGCAGCAAGGATTTTTTAAATCTCCTTGTCATATACTGTGCTTGCAAAATGAAAATTACTGTCTCTGTTACTCTTCTGCAATTAGTTAATCCTTTAAACTGGTAACAAATTGCAAAGAAAACTGTATCCACTTGGTGGAAGTTCCTGGTAGGGATGAGGATGGTACAGCTGTATTAATATGAAGTTTGTCAGTGCAGCCTGGGAAATCACCTAGTCATCTATATTCAATGAATTGTTTTCTGGGCAGGATAATCAGCAGTAGAGGTTTAGGGCTGCCTCCCCAAAGCTTCTCCTTCCCATGTCTTCCTCTCCAACTCTGCTTTCCCACAACTCTCCTTTCCCTTCATTGCCAGGCATACCTCTCATTCTCATTTAAAGCAGCCCAACCCTTACCCTTCTTTTGCTGGCACGGTGCCACCTGGCAAGGCAGAGACTGCAACCTGACAGCCTTGGGAGAGGTGGAGGAGTGGGAGGATCTCTTCAGTCTGGGAACAGCTCACTGCAGCAGGAGTACTGGGCATTCTGCTGTACCCTAGCAGAAAACACCTTCACCTTGAAACTACCTTCTGAGCTTTCACCTACATAAAGAAATCAGCGATTCCCAATATCTGCAATATTACCTTTGAGTTTGTTTCTTTTTTTCTGTTTCAGAAAGGAAAAGGTCAAGAAATGTCTGCCCATTTAAAGTACCTTTCCTTGGGCATCCTGGTTTTTCAGACCACAAGTTTAGTGTTGACCATGCGCTATTCTCGGACACTGAAAGAAGAAGGACCTCGTTACTTATCCTCTACTGCAGTAGTTATTGCTGAACTTCTGAAGATTTTGGCCTGTGTTCTATTAGTCTACAAAGACAGCAGTATGTGTCAAATTTTGCACCAAGTAATTTTCCTAATCAATATGCTGTATTGTAGTGGCAACTGCAAAGCAGCCATGTGAGTACAGGCATACAACAAAGCATTTCCCTTCTCCTTGTGTAAGAAATAGTCTTGGAAAGACAATAATCATACTGCATATTTGCTTAAGAGAATGGATACTGAGGAGGGCAGGAATGAATTTTATGCTAACATCTCAAAGTTTGTGTTTGCTCAGGCATTTTAAGAAATCTGTATGTAGAAGTAGGAAAAAATGAAATGCTTTAAGTGTGTCCAAAGCATGAATGATAATTTAGAAACCTGTGATAAACAGCAGACGCAGAAGGGAAGAAGTAATTTCATTGTTACAGGAAGAATCATAATTTTAAGCCAAAAAAAAAGAAAACTATATTCACATTTACTCCAGTTCTTATTTTATATATTTAAAACTGAATTTGTCTGGTTTCTGTCTGATTTTCAACAGCTTAAAAATGTCAGTCTATGTATAAATATTGATGACTGTAGGATTCTAAATATGCACTTTTTAGGTGGTAGTCTTTGATACATTATCTTAAATTATTGAGGCAATTTCAATAAGTTTAACTCAAAGTATTTTGAATACTTTTTTTCATTCTGATATTCCAGGCTGCAGGAAGACACTTGCAGCCATATTTCACATGTACAAGGCCTGTGAAAGTGAAACAAACATAGATGGTATTTTCAGGTCTTGGTGTAGTGATAGCTATAAAAAGGGGCTACAGTTTAAGAACAGAACATTGCTGTTTCTCTTTTTTCTACTCCATTCCTTTTAGTGAATATCTTTTTTTTTTTTTACTGTTTCTTTGGGTAGAATGCAATTTACGAACTCTGAACAGAGTGCTACGTGATGAAATCCTTAACAAACCCATGGAAACCCTTAAACTCGCTATTCCTTCAGGAATTTACACTCTTCAGAACAACTTGCTATATGTAGCATTGTCAAACCTAGATGCAGCCACATACCAGGTATTGCATATTTGGAATTCTCTGTAAGTTTCAAAAAAAGCGCCCTTGAATTGTGGCATTGTAGTAGTAACTGTTCCTGGTTTTTCTAGGTTACATATCAACTGAAAATTCTCACCACAGCATTGTTTTCTGTGTCCATGTTGAGCAAGAAACTGGGCGTATACCAGTGGCTGTCACTAGTAATATTGATGACAGGAGTGGCATTTGTGCAGGTAAATATTAGCAGGTGTTTTGTGGAGTTTTAATGTGTTTATTCAAGAAACATGGATTTCTATACTGATTATCCAGCTTTCTGATTCTACCAGCTGCACACGAGCACCAGAGTATAGTCAGGAGCTACGAATCACAACTGGCCAGGTCTGGAGGACACCAGAAATGGTTCAAAGGCAGAAGATAACACCTCTTTTGCAACCCAGTGCTCTACTATAGAATGTGACAGGGCTTCTGGAGCAACCTGCAAGTAATAATGATAGCAATTTTTATTAGCGCATTTCTTCAGGCATTAGGAATTCAGAGATGTTCTCTGCCAGTACAGGCTGTGTTCACTTTGTCATACGGATTCAGCATGGCAAATTTACCTTGGACTAATTTCAAAAGCCTAAATTGGCCTCAGTTCTCAATAGTGCAGGTATCAGTGTTCATAGTTTTCAGAGGGTAGGATCATAGGATAAGAGTTCTAAGAATTTTTAGCAGATTTTAGTATACCTGGAAATCTTTATTTTAAAATTTAAGGATTTGGGAGAAGATAGGGTAATTAAATTCAGTAATGAAAAAAGAGAACAAAATACTCTGACAGTATTTAACAGACTTCTCAGAAAGTTTTTGTCCATGGCATTGCATTTTATTCAGTTAGCCTTAGACACATTGCAAGATTTAACTGGTCTGCACAATCGCCAAAGAGGGGCACATGAAATAGACATTTCATCCTACCTTAAAGACAGCTGGTGTAAGTAGTTTTCTAACTGTACTTATATTTGTAAGGTAAACAACTGTTGGGTGGCACAAGTTGGTGTCAGAGAATGACCATGATAAGTCACACTGGGATTCAAAAACAGTTCTTGCTTATAAAATATAAATGCTGCGGCTGTTTAAATTGATGAGTATTCTCCCAGTTCAGGCACAATTTTACTCCTTACAAATGCATAGGAAAATAATTGTAGTTTTGCAGTTCTTTAAAAGTGTTTATGGTGCAAAATACAAAACTTTACAAGTATGTGAGTGTGTGTATGTACCAACTGTTACCGTTAGTGGAAAACAAATTTGCATTTTGTAGATGCTCATGACTTGATTTCATCATTGAATTTTGTGTAATTGTTTTTACATCCAGTGGCCTTCAGACTCTCAAGCAACACCTGCTAAGGAGCACTCAGCAGGATCACAGTTTGTAGGCCTGATTGCAGTTCTCATAGCGTGCTTTTCTAGTGGATTTGCTGGAGTTTATTTTGAGAAAATTTTAAAGGAAACTAAGCAGTCTGTGTGGATCAGAAACATTCAGCTTGGTAAGTTTAATTTTAATCACCTGTTAGAGATATTGCATTCTGAAGCATTAAGACAATTGTGCAAAATAAATATATAAATAAAAAATACTACCAACATTTTAGTATGCTGCATATATGTTGTTTTAAAACCAAAAGTCAAATTCTGCTAGGGGGAATTATAGCAGTTGCTTTCTAATTTCAGTCTAGTTCTTGATTTACTTCGTTAGTAGAGTATCTGTACATTTGTGCAGAAACTGTCAATTGAATTTTTTTTACTATTATTTAGAGAATATAGGAATATTAAACCAAAATATATTTCCAAGTCAGTGTTTTGAGATGTTTTAAAATTAATGTATTTTTTTTCTCTTGTGCCGGGGTAGGCAGCTTTTTGTATTAAAAGTGCAAACTATAAATTCTGCTTTGTTTGTGAACAAAGTGGAAGTAATTAATTACTGTTATTTCAATACCAAAGGTCAGTTTCTTTTGTGTGCATAATCACTGAGGAGAGGCATATGCAAAAGACCAGTTCATCTTAACTATTTGTATAGCTGTACCTACTGTGCACCTATCAGTGTGCATCACATTATATTAACATCACCCATGTTAACATATATTAACCACTCTAGTCTTGACCTGCAGGCAAAAACTATTTATGGCATATTTGAATGAGTGCACTGAGCAGAATTTGGCCTTCCCAGTGCCTTAGGATGGACTAGGGATCAAATCCACAGTGTAAAGTTGTCATGAGATGATTTAGTGGATCAGAGCTGTGTGGTGAGTCTGGCAGAATGTAGTGCAGTACTGTAAGAACAGGAGATGGTGTGGCTTCTTTTGTAGTTAGTTAGTTGGTCAATAAGCCATCTTTTTTTTCCTTTATTTTCCTACTACTGTATTTTAATTTTAAGTGGTTTCAGTTAAAAAAGCAGAGGTTAATTTTGAATACATTAAAATATTTTTACATGACCATAAGTGTTTTGTAACTGAGTATAGTGGAAGGAATCAAAACTTCTCCTTACTGTCGGATTGTATTTATGGAAACAGTGTCTATTCAAACTAAGTTTCCTGAACAGAGTGTAGGGAATACAACAGGAAACATTATGTTAAGGAATTCTGGGGGCAGAGAAGTGTTGCTACCTGGGGATTGGTCCAGGATTTGAGGTAAGATTTGGTATTCTGGGTGGAGCTGAAATATAAAATCCATGGCCAAGGAAAGCTGATTATTATTATTACTCTCAGTTTCCATGCTACATGGGCAACAGGTATCTGAAATAAATGCAAGTAAGAATTCATAATTGTTGAAAAATCAATAATCTCAAATATTGTTCATATTTTTCTACAGCACACAGAAGCATGTACACTTAGTTTGATAGTTGGCCTGGTCATATATTGAATATTTCAGTAATTCTTTGTGAAACAGGGAGATCAGAACAGACTGTGCTGAATGCTGACTCTTCAAGGTTATGAATGACTAGGACAGTGATATATGAAGACATAAATGCCTGATTATAGTGAGAATCAGATCACCTGAGTTTTGTATTTACTTTCTAGTGAGCTTAATATACCTCAGTAGGAGATTCAGTAGAATGTGTTTATTATTGAGGTTGTTCTCAGTTCAAAAATAATGCTGTCATATTTCATTAAGTTTTTAGAAACTATTTAAATACATAAATAAAGTTAAACAATACATATTAAATACATATAAAAATAAACACAGCTTTTACAGTACAGCTTTCATAAAATATGTAAAATGTGAAATCGTGTTTTCAGAAATACATTGGTGTCTTCTTTCTGCAAGTGCAAGGTAGTCACCCACTTCAGACATTGTATTATTCAGGAGCCAGACATTCGTAAGCAAGAGGTCTGAAAAAGAGTTTTCTTAAAACACAAACAAAAAACCTGTATGTCCAACCAGGTTTTCATTTTCATATCCATAGAGAATTATTAAAACCGTAGAAAATAATTGGGAAATAAATCAGAATTGTTTTAAAAATCAGTTTTTAATGCACATCAATACCGTAATAAGGATGTATGAATAGCTTATTGTATTTCTTTATCTTAACAGATCAGTTGGAAAATACAAGTTTACAAATGGTTTAATCTGAATGATAACTACATTTTTCAATCTGCCTACAAAAATAATTATTTCTTGTCAAACAGAAGGTGTTATTTTGTTCAAAACAATTCTGGCTTTTTCAGATGCACAGAAATGTGATGAAAATCACCTTTTTACAGAGAAGGAATAGAAAAAGATGTTGCCCCTTTCCTGCTCAGGACTAGAGCAGACATCAGTCACAGAGTAGCTGCTTACATGCTTACCTGCTTGAGGAATTAGGAAAAGCTTCCCATTTGATAGAAGAACACTGGACTCACCAAATTAAAAACCACAGTCTCACCTCAGATTCAGCTTTTGACAATAAGTCTCTACTAGTAAAAATTCATTGTGTTTGAGACTGGCTCAGGAGAATCCCATTTCAAAGATCCTTGTCTGAATTGGCAAACTGCTAATTGCTGCTCCTGCTGTGCCGGAGACCTTCTTTTCCACTGAGTGTTTTCCCTGTTTTTCTCTACAGGTTATAGGGTGACTCCAGCCTTCAGTCATGACTAGTTTCAGGAAAACTGAAATAGCATTTAAGTGAATTTTGCTATATGCCATAAACAAAAATCACTCCATTCCAGTAGAAAGCAAGGGAAAATAAGTATATAAGGATACCGTAATAGAAACAATCAAAACTTGTTTCAAGTGTGGAGAATAGCTTTTAAAAGAGAACAGCAAACTGATTGCATCTGGATGTGATGATATTGCAAGTGACAGTCCAATTTTAAAATCAGAATTACATGAGCAGCCTTTAAGGATGAGGAACCCATTTGCATGTTTTTCACCTAAAGCTTTTAAACCAATCTTGTACTTTCAGGATTTTTTGGTAGCATATTTGGACTGATGGGTGTTTACATTTATGATGGAGAGCAACTGTCAAAGAATGGATTTTTTCAAGGATACAATAAACTTACTTGGGTGGTGGTTGTTCTACAGGTGAGACCTTGTGTTGCATGTTTCTGTGAAGGCACTCAGGGATTTTCTCTTCTATAAATAACTGGGGAAGCTAATGGGTGTTTTTGAAGGTGCTGAGAATTCTACAGCTGAAAGTCTGATCTATCATTATTATCATACTCTAATTGAAAATCTGGAAAATATATAGCAAGTATGTAATTGCAAATTAAAAGCAATTGTAAGCAATTATGCAAATTAAAAGCATGTAAGCATTATTTATTTAGTGATATTTAAAATTATCGCTCTATATGACCTTCCTCATGTGGCTAAAAATGTACAGTATGAGCATTTCCACTCATTTAATGGTAGTAATGTGATCAACAATTTCTTTAATGGGGAAAGAACTACTCCTCCAATATTTATTATTTTCAACAGTACGTATTCCTAATATAAAATAAATGTATTGCTTCTCCACACAGACAAAAGCATTTCCTAAAGTAGGTGCATGGTGTTAAAGCAGATGCTCTCAGTCAAATTATCAGTTTGTGAATCCAAACCTTGCTATTTTTCCAGGCACTTGGAGGGCTGGTGATTGCTGCTGTTATAAAGTATGCGGACAACATTTTAAAGGGATTTGCAACTTCTCTCTCCATTATACTGTCAACATTGATCTCCTATTTCTGGCTGCAAGATTTTGTCCCTACAAGGTAAGAATTATTTTCCACGTATACTAAAAAAAAATAGTTGAAAACTTACTGCTTGCCAGATATAACTGCGAAAATAAATAAAAACCAAATCACATCCAAGCCACACTTTCGAAATGTCTAGGTCCAGCTTGCACACTAAAGTTTAGCCTCATCCCGTGCCTAACAGGGAGTTTTTCGGGGGGGTGAGGAGCCGCTGGCTCGGGGTCCCGCGGCGGCCGCGCTCCCTGCGGCTGCAGCCGCTGCCCGGGGCCGCTCTTCGGCCCGGCCGCGCCCCCTGCGGCCCCGCGCGGGCACCGCACCCTGCGCCAGGGGCTGCCGCCGCTCCGGGTCCCGCGCTGCGGGGCGGCACGGGGACATCGCTCTGCACCACAGGCTCTGACACAGGTGACTGGAGTCACGCACTCATGGAAGTGACGCTGCAGCACTGAGTTGCCCAAGGGCACCCAGAAGCCCAAAGGCAGAGCTGTTTCTAAAGGCAATGCCTCGTTTAGTAGTAAGAACAGCCGAGAAAGAAAAAGAAGTGCTTGCTCCGTTCTTTTAGGCCCCATACAGTGTCCTGATGCTTTGGGGATCAGACTGTGGTGGCTCTGTGTGCCACAGGTTTTGTACAAGGGTGGGTTGAGAGCACTGTTTGTCTTGGCAGTGCATGTTCCTGTATGGAGTGTAGAATTAATAATCCCACTTCCAGGTGTAGGAATAGGATTTTACTTATGACTGACCAACACTCTTTGCGTATACTACAAGTACTCATAACATAAAAATATTTTTAATAATATTTATGACTTTTGTATCTGGTACAAAGAAACATCTTTTTATCTAAAAATATATATTTGCAATACTGTGGTCCCTTCTATCCCTACCCATTCTGTGATTCTCTATTATCAGAGCTTAAACATTCAAAAAAAGAAATGGAATAGCTGTTTAGGCTTAAGAAGTGGAAGACATTGAACTTTTAAATTATAAGTAGATTATATTTGTCCCATTAAAACAAATGTACAAAGTGTTTTAAGTATTTCTGTGTGCTCAAATGGAAAATTAATAAGTAACTTAACAGCTTCTGCAAACATGTTGAAAATTACATACAGCCAAGTAGCAGTATGTAGAACTTGAAGTGATCCCATTTAATAAGACCTGACTAACTTGAGTTAATCAAACTTAATCTTTAGTACCTTGCTTATGCTAACAATGCATTTGAACTGGAGCTGTGTAATTGTTACTGTCACATCAACAGTTTTGATAGGGGTAATAGATGTAAAGTACTTAAATGCTTGAATGTGTTGCAAGGGTCCATGTCCCAAAATAGGCTAAATGTATTCTCTGAAGGATTATCATGTCATATGCCACAGTTTTTTTAGCATTTGGTTCAGAACATGAAATTGTTGATGTTGTCATGTCTCTGAGGAGATTGTTTTCTAAAATGCGTACTGATTGTCTGCTGGCTTTGGTTATTTTGTACCAGACTTTTAATCAAAACGAAGTCTTGAAAGACCAAAATGTCACAATAAAAAAAGATGCCTCTGTTGTGTTTTCATGAGACAAATCTTTCTGGATCTGACAAAAATTAGACTATATTGACTTGCAAACTGGTTCTTGGGCAGCAGTAATTTGTTTTGACATAAGCTTTGGACTTGAAAGCAAACACAGCTCCAACAACGTGATGTATGTAGTATAAGAATGGGTGGGTAACCACAGGAGCTGCTTTTCTCCAGCTCCTGCTTCCATTTTTGCATACATTCTTTAGGTAAAAGTTTAAGAAAAAAAGGATTGATCTGATTGCTTTTGGAAATTGTTCCATGCAAGTGTAATTTTAATTTTCAGAATATGTTAGTATAATGCTACATTAATTTGTAGTTACAAGTTTCTTACCTCAACAACTTTCTGCATCCCTCTAAAATATATACATACAAATTATTTTGCTCTTCATCCATTAGACAAATTTAATTTATCTGTTTTCCTCATGGAAAAATGTCCTTTCTTTTGTATTGCATAAATAAATTTGCATCAACTAAAACTTTTTTTTTTCATCCCTATTCTATTCAGTGTCTTTTTCCTCGGAGCCATCCTTGTAATAGCAGCTACTTTTCTATACGGTTATGATCCCAAACCTGCAGGAAATCCCATTAAGGCATAGCAGACTTCCTCATCAACCTGCTTCTCGAGATCATGCACTGGGGGCCTTGCTAGCACTGGCATGTGGGAAGTGTCACTGTGCACTGCAAGGGAAGGATGACTGCCCTGAATTTATTGAAGAAATGCTGAAGAGTAGTTCTGAACAGCCAGAGGGGTTACAGGTGGAGGGTGATGCTGTCTGCAACTGAAGGGGGGGGAAATGTCGGGGAATGCCCAGTGCAACTTGCTAATAAAAACTTGAAAGGAACCAAAAGTTTCAAGAAACTACAATTAGGAATGTTTACAGCTTTGACTGAGATTGCATCAAAAGAATTACTGTATTGACTGCTGCAGAAATGTGTCCTATGCACTCTTTGAAAGAGCACACGACAACATTGTCAGATTGTATGTTTTTGCTATTCAATTCTATTTAATCTTAGTAAATATGTTTTTAACTGTTTGTCTATTTACGTGAAATGAGCAGAAAGTCATAGTTCTAAAGTGATGGTTCTAATTAGGTACTCCTTATTAAAACTGAAAATTGAAGTATGATTGAAAGACACTTTCACAATATCAAATATTTTTATATTTTTAGAAGGCTGATTTAATAACAGAAATCTGTTATTAAATAATATTATAATTCTGTTGCTTCTGTAAAACTGTTGTAAGAATGTTAACATTCTCACTGAAGTGCAAAGGGAGGAATACTCCAGCCTTCATCAGCCTGTAGTGTTGGAGCAGATGGAATAACTCTGGGAACACAGGCTGGAGGTTACCACACTAATCTGGGAGCAGCAGTAGGGTTGTGATGGGTGCTTGCTCAGATGTGATGTTTATTCTTTATTTTTTTTTACTGATTATAAATCAACTTTTTAGTAGAAACTTAAAAGTAGTTTTTGTGCTTTAAATAGCCTCTGAAGATTTTTTTAAACCATTATTTCAAAAAACAAAGAGCTCATAATAGGCATTTTAAAGGCATTATCATTGTCTGTAACAGCTCCATCTGGAGATATTATGGTGTGGCATCTGTATAGTGTACTGTACTTTATTACAGAGGTGTTTTTTAAACAAGTGTTGTTTTCTCATGAACTCTTCCAGGCTTTTTCTGTATATTTCTATGTAATGGCTTAATTAGAGTTTTGGTGGGGTTTTTTAAATTATTATTATTTTGTTCTGAGAGTCCTTGAGCCAACAGACCAAAGTGGGTTCTCTGGACCTATTTGTTCTAGTAGTGGAATTACTTTAATAGGAAATACAATTAAAAAGCAATTAATTGTGCAATAGGTAAATCTAAAAGCATGCTGTTATTCTGTTTAAAACAAAAGAAAAAAACCTTCACAAAGAAACCTTGCTGCAATTAGATCAATTAGACTGTTATGAACACTTCACTTGAAGAATTTGCATATAGTTAGAAACACTAAAAAAATCTAAAACTAATAAACAAAAAAAATCTGTCTTAAAAATCATTGGTTTTCAGGTTCACAATGGATGTTAATGTTGGGTGACTCGTGTGACACCTGTGATGGTGCATTCATATAAAAGCATTTTAGAAGTCCCTTACCAGTAAAATGGCAAGTGGTAAAAATGGCTTCATTCCTTTCTTCCCTCCATGCCACCACCCCCTCCATGCTGTTTCTCACATCTGTCTTGTTCTAAAGAAAATGTGTAATAGAAATGTGTTTTAAAATGTTTACCGAAGTACCTCATCTGATTGACAAGGAGATTCTGTAGGAGTGCTCTGAGATTTCATAGTGAAGTATTGTAAATGGGAAAGGAAGAATTCCACTTATGTCAGTCAAGTAAAAATAGTTTCTTTCTTCTGTTGGCAATTACATGTTTTATCAACATTGTGTTTGTTTGTCTTATCAGAGCAAGACATTAAAGAAATATCAGAGCTCTGCCTAGGGCTTGCTAAGCTTTGTGAACTGTGAATCTGTCCCAGCATGTTGTAATTGCAGTAGCTTTGCTACTTGGCGATCAACTATCTAAATGGGCATTCTATGTTAATATTAAATCTTTTACGTATAACATTCAATGTGGCACAATCTTTGACAAGTCACATTTAGCCATTTCCCCCTGCAGTGCAGCCTGAGGTAAGGCCTGTGCATAGAGCAGCGGCTCACAGCGATGCCAAGTACAGAATGGGACCTGCACAGCTCTGAAATGAGGTGGGAGGTGTTGGGAGTGATCTCTCAACTGGAGTTTGGCCCTACACAGTAATACTTTTGATTTTGTAAAACACAGTAGTGGGAGTGTTCAAGTGATACAATTGGTTACTTTCTTAAGAAAAGTCTCCAAAAAACATAAAAAGCAGGTTGAGAACACTTTAAATCCAGTTGTACAGGAAGGGACCAAAAAAGCCAAATAATTACCACGTGGCTGGAACTCTGGGACATGTAGCCTGGTTTTAATATTTCAGGTGCAGCTGTCAATATTTGCCAGGATGTTTAAAGGAAGCACCAGGCATATGTGCTCTTTGCTTTGGAATAGGATGCCATGCAGCTTTGGAAAACTGTCTGCTGTACTAAGGAACAGTAACTCCTGTCTGTAAATCAATGACTTCCATGCTTTCACTTGACAGACCAATTCTGTTTTCCAGCAGAAGGATAGATCTCGTCACAGACTTGTTGCTGAAAAGGAAGAATGAATTAGAATTTTCCGCTGTGTTTCCTCAGAGAGAGGAAAGGCTCTTCTCTGAGGTGTGACTCTGGACAAGGGGAGGTAGCATGTGTTTTATGAGAACAGAAAGGATTTGAGGAGGGCTGACTGATTTCTGTAACCTTTGCATCGGGGACCATATGCACATTTTCTCACTGAGATACTTTTGTATTTGGATTTTTATTTTTTTTTTAAGTAGCTTTAAGTCTATTACTCATTAACTAACCAAAGAGGAATAGCTAGCACAGAGTTTTGGGAGGTACTGGATAATGTGCTTTGAGTTAGCCCTAAAAGCAAATGCTGTAGGAGTGTAACTTCCCAAAAATAAACTTGTCTTTCTGAACTATTTTCTGACTTTTAGACAATTGTTTTGTTAGTTTAGTTGTATATTTAGGAGGCTAACCTATACTTAGCAGAATTTTGTTTAAATATTTATAAAGTTATAGAAGTTATAGCTAGCTATTTATTTGCAATAACTTGAATTATGTGATTTTTATTTCTAGACATATATTGGGTATACTAGTATTTATTGAATACTTGGATATTTGGTAGTTTTATTTGAGAATCTCTGGGATACATTGTAAATGGTCAAATAATGATAAACTTAGGACTATCTTCAAGGCAAAATAGATCAGTGTTTAAAAAACTTGAGTCTAATAAAGTAAGACAAACTTCTTTCAACATTGTATTTCTAAACAATCCATAAGTCCCCAAAAATGTATTTTCTCAAAGAATTCAGATAATTGTATAGTTTTGTTCAACTTCATTGCTTTAGACAAACTTTAAGAAAACCTCCCTTTTTATTTGTTTCAGTAAAGGGTAGGTTCATGTTCTAGATTAAACTTCTACAGTGTAACACTTTTGGTTTTTTATTACAATGTTTTAGCAACTATTGTTTTATTTTTCCTCAAAAAGACAAAACAATCTCATTTTGCTTGTGTTCCATGCACATACAGACCTCTCAGAGACTCTTAGTAGTACATAATTCTTTTGTGTGTGTTTCTAACTTATTTTTGTGGCTGTAATTCAAAATACTGTAATAGATTGTGTTCATTTTTTAAAATTGATAAATGAAACATTGCATTTCTTCTGGTTTTTGTTGCCAGTAACTTTCACATTTGAATGTATTTCCTGGTCAGCCCTGCATGTTCTGTTGTATTTAAGCAATTGTAATTTTCCAAATTTGAATTTGTTGCTCGTTTTCCTCCTGGTGACAATGTTTCTTGCTGGATATTGTGTTGAGGAGAATTATTCATTCCTTTCATATCTGAAATCTATGTTTGTGAGAATGAGTTCTTAAAAAACAGTAAGGGTTTTGGGGTTTTTTTTGTGTATTGGAAAGGTAACAGTTATGTATAACATAGTATTATACCATATATGTGTAATGTGTCATTACCTAAGATGGTGCATTACTGTGAGAAAGTCCAAATAGTGTTTCCTTGCCTTTGTTTTAATTGTCCTTTTCATTTTTAATGCTGATTATTTTGCACAGGAAGAGAATCCTGCTCATTCCAGGTAAGCTCATTGTATGTTTTTAGGTATCTAGAATTAAGACATTTTACTAAAAAAAAATTTGGGGCAAAATGCAACAAAATACGTGGAATTGATTAGATCATATCCTCTGCTTCAGTTACTGTCCAAAGTTCTGTTCAGTTGAATTCTTACCTTTTTATAAGTATTTCTCAGCTGAATTTATAACTCTTTCTAAAAGAAAAAAATAGTGTCTGACCTGCCATTCAGTGCTTGTTCTTGTTCTTGAATGTCTGCTGCACATTTGCATCCAAGAGTAAATGTGGCACATTAACTTGTCTGCAATCTCCTATCATCATTCTGACTGTAATTAGCCATATTCATTTCATTAGTGATTTATAGCTCAGTAAGAATTATTTATATGCTAAGCATATGTTTGTATTTGCTGCCATGAGTATGATTTTTTTAGATTTTTTAAACTTTGTCCTTATTGTCAATATATGAGCCCAAATATATTATTCAAACATTGTAGCAAAATTTTTAAGGTAGTTCTAGTTTTTTATATGTTGATATTTGTGTGTGATTACGTTGAATACAGTTCTGATATGTGTGTTTCCAGGCAGTTTGGAAAAAGTTTTTTTTTTTTTTGGTCTAACACTGCTGAACACTGGAATGCATCTTACCTGACCTAACACAGTCCTTGTTTTAATCCATGTTGAGGTAAAATACTGTATTTTATTTTCTTCTATATGAGTAGGTAATGCCACTATAGTAATAAACTGGTTGAAATTAAGCATTGGCTTTATTAAGAATACGATCTAAAACTGTTAGAGAGCTTTGTTGAAAGGAGAGGCTTGTCTTATGCATATTTTTGCAGAAATAAAACAACATTCTAGCTAATGCTTATTATTTCACAATATAATTTTAGTATAATTTTCCATAAATTCTGGAAGGCTATTGGATGTTTTTTTAATGGTATCTTTTAACATACATCTTACTGAATGATGCCAGCAATTTAATTTTGACTGAGACATGCTTCTTTTTGACCATTTTGTCATGATTTCTTGCAGTGTTCTTGTGATGCGCTTCTGGTCTGAAACCCCAGATGTGCCCTGAACCAGGGGTGGTAGGAAGCACCTGAGTATCAATACCGAGTTATAGTGTGGGGTGTGGTTGTAAAACACTGTAACACTGTAAGGAGCTATGAATAGCTGTAATTTACAGTATATCAAAGACCTGAACAGAGTTCACAAGCAACTTCTCTAGATGATGGATACCATGTTTCTATGCCCGTTCTGCAGATTCATATAATAAAACTGGGTCATTTCAGCAGCAATTTTCAGGACACTTCATGTCTATCAGTATCTTTTGTCAATTTTGCCCTGCTCTGAATGTTAACACGCAACATGATTTAAACTGAAAATTTTATGCTATTAGGTAACAAATTAATGATTCCTTATCTAGGGACATTGTTCTTCAAGACTGGTGTAAAGGCACTCCCTGAGGAATCTTACCTGAAACTAGTGAAACCATCATCTGCCTGTGCCTTGGAATACCCCTAGGGAGAGAAGTATTCTGTCATTTTCATCCCTCTTCCAAAATGATGGAAATGTCTTCTACGGCTAGCAGGTAGTAGTATTTACTTAGTATAGAGGGTTGAACACTGTGGGTGTTTAGATGTTACAGACAATTCTTGTTTCTCTTCCTCAGGAGTTTGTGTAAATAATGTTAAATATTAAGGTTAATGTTACATTAATATATAAGTTAAATAATGTTAGAGCAGATTATGTCGGGACTTGTGTAGGTGAGTGGAGTTTAATATATGAAAATATGTAGCTTGCTGAATTTCATGACAGCAACAGCAAATTTATTCTACATTCTCATAATTTGTGTTTGTTCTACATTCTCATTATTTGAATCATCTACTCTGTCTACATGAGCAAACTTGATACTTAAATGCATTTTGAGATAATGACATCAATAACAGGTGTTGGTCTAATATGAAGGTATGGATAGAAAACCATCTTGTCAGCGTAGTTACTAAATTACTTTGCTGACATTGTAGTTGTGTTGGCTTTTTACATTAATCCCTTACATGTCACCTACATGCCTGTGTGTGACTTTCCCACCAAAATCTAACAGCAGTCTGAGGAATAGAGTTGAAACTATGCCAGCATTTTTGGACCCCTCTCCTTTTCAAGTAGAACTGGGACAGAATTGTCAAATACTTCATGTGACACCCTGATACTTGTAACAAATGACTGATAATAGCAAACATCCCAGACCCGCTAGACGCACTCTTGCTTTCATGAGCTGGAGTCGGCTTGTCTTTGTCTAGATCCGTTGGTCTGAGTAGGGCTGAGCATCGGCAAGTTCTAAATTCCTTAAAAGGTGCATTATGATGAGATAAGAAGCGTTTAATCTTGAGGCTGAGGGTTTAACCTAAGCCCACACGGTTTTAAGTGGTGAGTGATTGACACCCGTTTGGTAACAGGTGCTGGTCTGCACCTCAGGGATAACTTCCACTCTTGGTAGGGACAAAAAGCTGTTCCTATGTAGCTGAGGTTTTGGGGGAAACGGGGATGTCACAGGAGCTGGGGAGATGGAGATAAGCAGCAAGAGGGCTGAAGGACAGAGGATTAAGAACATAGAGAACAGACCGATACATGGATACAGCCATGGAGACTTGTGTCTGTATCATGCCTGTAATGCACAGACAGTTGTTGCTCCTCAGTGATGCCAGACATCAACAGCGGATGAAGTTGTAAGCCACAGAAAACCTAATAATGCCGGCAACGTGTTACTAAAAGATTTTCTCCACTAATTGGCATGCTACAATGGGGAAGCTGATCCCTGTTATCTTGTTACTTGCAGACGTTGTGGTAAATCAGAACCTGCCCGTTTGAAGGTCTTAGAGCTTTCCTAAGCTAAGTTTAAAATCTGTCTCCAAGCTGGATCGTTAGGGTGGATTATATCTGTGTACTCTGGCTCTAGAAATGTCAGGTATATCCTGTACTGTCTTCCTTTGGTCCTTTTCCCCGGGCGCCTCAGCAGCTCCAGGAGGGAGGAAGCGGGGCCGGGTGTTTCGATTCGGGAGGGACGGGTGATGCTTGCGGGGCCATTGGAGAACCTGAGGCTCCCGCGGGGCCGCGCTCGGTGCCTTAGCCCGTGGCGTTGTCAGGCTGGGGGTGCCGGGCGGCGGAGGCTGTGGGGGCCGCCCAAAGGCGCCGTTCTCCCGGCGCGGCCCGCGCTTCCCGGTGCCGGCGCCTGCTGCCCGCGTTCCCAGCGGCGCTGTCCCGGCGCGGGCAGGGCTGGGGGGGCGCCCCGCACACGTGAGCGGCGCGCGGCCAATGGCGCGATCGCGTGATGCGCAGCGCCGGCTGCGCGCGCGGTGGGGCTGCGCAAGATGGCGGCGGGCGCGTGAGGGGTGGCGGCGGCCGCGCCGGAGGGACGGAGGGAGCCGAGGCCCGAAGGGAGCCGGGAGGGGCCGCTGGTGCCGCCCCCGAGGTGCGATGGTAAAATGACCCAGGCGGGGAAGAAGAAGAAGCGCGCCGTGAACCGTAGTATCATGCTGGCCAAGAAGATCATCATTAAGGACGGCGGGACGGTGAGGCCGGGGGCGCAGGACGGCCCGGGGGATGGCTGGCGGCGGCGGCGGGGGGCCCCAGGCTCTGTGGCGGTACGGGGGCCGGCCCCGGACGGGCAGGGCCCGGATCCGCGGGGGTCGGTGGGCCCGCGGGCCTCGGGCGGCCGCGCCTGTGCCGATCGCGGTGCCCTCACGGCCGCCGCAGCCCCGCTGGCCGCGCTCGGCAGCCCGGGCCGGTGTCCGCGGGGCGGCTGCCGGAGAGCACCTGTGAGCGTGTCAGGCTGCTTTGCTCCGCCCGTAAACGCGGTTTGCTCCTCGTGTGGGCCGGGTTTTGGGTCGCGGGAGCGAGTGCGGCCTCCGGCGCTGGGCCTGGGGCACGGCGGGTCGTTAGGGCCGCCCGAGGTGAGCGGAGCATGTCCGAGCCCACCCTCGCCGAGCGTGGCTCCCGTGAGCGGCGGCTGCGGGGGCAGCGCAGGGCCGCGGAGCGCGGGCAGGGCCGCGGAGCGGGTGCGGGGCTGCCGGCGGGGACAGGGAGCGCTGTCCCCGCGGTGCCCGTGGTCAGACAGAACGGGCCCGAGAGGGGGACAGACGTCAGCGCCTGAGCAGTTCCGCAAAGGGCGCCTGGGAGAAAGGTTTTGCGGTTCTTCCCACTCTTTTGCTTTCTCGTAAACACATAAATTCAAAAAAGAAAGGAAGTTGTTAAGTGTTTTGGCTGCTGGAGCTTGGAGTCGGTTTGGGTGTGGTTTTTGGTTGTTTTTTTTTTTTTTTTCCTTGTATTGATAAGTGCCATTACTTCCAATGTATCATTGCCCCTGGATGTTTTCTACTGTGTAACTCGATGTGCCCTGTTCTAAATACAGTGCCTTTATTTCAAATAAAGAGACATCTTGACAGACTAAATTGCTGATGGCCCTTCAGTTTGTCTTTTTGGAACAATAACAGAAGAGACGGGTGTGAGAGTCACTATACTTGTTCATCGAAGTGGCCAACTGGCTGGATTACTGAAGTGTTAGGAAGCAAAATGAATTCTGGTATTGGTTGTTGGTGTTTTCCAGGATGTGTTTCTGCTGTTTGTAGAGATAGAAATGTATGAGATTATCTTGTACAAATGTTAAATGCAAGTATTTTAGATTGAGTAGTAAGTGTTGTTACTCTGGGGACATGGTGCTTCATAATTTCTCTCTGGAGTATCATTGTTTAAGATACAGTGTGTTTCCAAGCATCCCTAACCTCTCAACTTTAACTTCCTTTTGCCAAGAGAGGAGAAAGTATGTTACAGTAACTGCATTCCAAGATACTTTTAGTGCATCATTCCGTGCCTGCCACCAGTTTCAAAAGCTGAGTGCCAGCTCCCGTGAGTTCTGTATTAATTTAATTCTTGGAAATCACATAAAAATGAGCCATAAACAATAGATGAAGGTATGTAGATTGTTATTTGGCAACACAAAATTCCACTTGTGATACTTTCTGCCTTCAAATAAATATTTGGGAAATTATTTGTTTTAATACATATTTTTAAGTTATGAAGTTTGATATAAGAGTGTTCTTTATAACAACAGCAGAAGCTTCATGCATGGAATTTTTTAATATTTGCTGGAATGTTAAGTTGGCCTTCAGTGCTCAGTGTCCTCATCTGCTTCATTCGTTACCCAGCATGGTGTGTGACATTGTGGGAATCAGGTACCTGAAAATGGCCCCCATGTCTTCAGTGTTTCCCACAGTAATTAATCAAGCATATTTGTGCAAACTTTCCAGCCTGATTGGTTTATTTTGGAGCTGTTTGAAATCAGAAAAAATTGTGTGAGCCAGAATGAATGTACAGATGGTTAATGAGGCAGTAGCACAGGCAGAAAGAGTTTTTGATAGGGGAAAAAAAAAAACCACAACCAAAAAAACCCCCAAACAAGCAAAAAGGAAAACCCACTCATTGTTTCTGCAAAGCCTCTCTTCCCACTGCGCTTTCTGCTGGGTCTCCTTGACAAGACAGTGGGTGGTGCAGGAACTTGGGTTGGTCCTTGATGGCATTTTTGTGTTTTTCTATTTGCAGCTTTAGTAGCTGTATCACAGAAAGAATGTGTAATGGTGTGTTGTACTCAAGTGTGTGTTGTCAGGTTTCACCAAAGGAGAGGCAGCAACACCAGTGATGTGGTTTCATAGAATCACAAATGGTTTGGGTTGGAATAGACTTTAAAGACCATTTATTTCCAACCCCCCTGCCATGGGCAAGGACACCTCCCATACACCAGGTTCCTCAAAATCCCATCTAGCCTGCTGCTGAACACGTCCGGGGTGGGGCAGCCACAACTTCTGTTTCAACACTTCCTTTTTCCCAGCAATTTTAATTTTTCCTTCCTTTATGTATTCATCTTATGTACAATGATGCATTTTTGAAGCAGTCATGAAATGAACTAGAGATTAGAACTTCACTGGGTGCTTTTTTCCATTCCAGCAGAGGAGCAACAGCTGTGGTCTTACACACGATATCTTTGTTGCTTTGATAGTTTTGCTGTTGTTGTCAGGTGTGTGTTCTTAGGCTTGCCTGGCATGTACACTTTTTATCACTGGCATGACTGACAGTACAAAGTGTTTGATTAAAGGTGTCTTCTCTATAACCAGAGGAAAAGGCTTCTTGGAGCCCTGTTTGTGCAGCGGGTTTAGCCAGGCACAAATGCGCTCTGCTCTGGCTGCTGGTAGCAGAGGAGGGTTGCTGTTACTGTGATTGGAGCATCTCAGTTGCAGCTTGTTCACACAAGGCCTCTGT